ATGTGCCCCGCCCCCCGTACCTCACCCGGGGGAACTGCGATCCCCCGCGATCCCCCCCGAAATGACCTCTGTGTCTGAGAGCCGCAAGACATGAACAGATATTGCACACCCGTTTTTATTGGAAAATATGCAAATCTGCTTTTCATTAACGGTAACTTTGAATGAGACTGCCAGAAATAAAAACAAAAGGGGTAAAAATGGACATTGATAATGATATTTAAAGAGACAAATGTTTTCTCCAAGCTGGCCGGGGGTGTGTGGGGGCTTTGAGAATGCATTTAAAGTTGCTTTCTCTGCTCCTCCCCCTCACCTCAAGCCTACCCAGGGAGGGGAACACTGGCTGGGGAAGGGAAGATTGTCTCCCCTTCACTTCCCCAGCCACCCTGCCGGGAGCCGCACAACATATGTGAAAGAGCCGCATGTGGCTTCCGAGCTGCAGTTTGGCCACCCCTGAAATAGAATAATGTGTTGCTGATTACATGAACATAAGAGAAGCCACGCTGGATCAGGCCAATGGCCCAATACCCAGGTGCCATCAGGAGGTCCATCAGCAGGGCCATACTCCAGAAGTCCTCCCACTCTTGCCCACCCCAGCACCAAGAATACAGAGCATCCCTGCCCCAGAAATAAGAGTGTTCCATCTATACCTTGTGGCTAATAGCCACTGATGGACCCCTGCTCCATATGTTTATCCAGTCCCCTCTTGAAACTATGCTTGTAACCGCCACCACTTCCTGCAGCGGTGAATTCCACGTGTTAATGACTCTTTGGGTGAGGAAGTACTTCCTTTTATCTGTTCTAACCCGACCGCTCAGCAATTTCATTGTGTGCCCACGAGTTCTTGTATTACGAGAAAGGGAGAAAAGTGCTTCTTTTTCTCTGTGTGTTGTTTCAAGGTGGAGGAGCTAATGAGGAAGAAACAGCTGGAGATTGCTGATTTCAGCATTTATTGGGATACTGACTGCACTTTAATGGGAGACTTGCCACCGGGGGAACTGCAGGTACGATGAAAGTTTTTTGTTTGTTTCTTGTCAAAGATGTTGCTGCTTTGTGGATACAGCGTGTGTGGGCATAGACTTATCTAATGTTGAAATCAATTTGGCAGTGGATTTGGGAGAGGCAAGGAGAAAGCAAGTAGGTCTGCTGTAATGAGAGTGTTTTGCACGAACTTAGTAACTGTGTAGTGGTTAGAGTGTCAGACTAGGATCTGAAAGACCCAAGTTTGAATCGCCGCACTGCCACGGAAGCTTGCTGGATAGCTTTGGGCCAGTCACATGCTCTCCCTAGCCTACCTCACAGGGTTGTTGTGAGGATGAAATGGAGGACAGGACAGCCATATATCCTGCTTTGGATCTCCATTGAGGAGAAAGGCAGGATATAAATGGAGTAAATAAACAGATACTGTTTGTATACCGTGCCCTATTCTCCCCCCACCCCCATGATCACACGGAGGCTTCCGCCGATGTATAAAATATGTGCTGCCTCTGCCGATCCTTCCGTCCATATTTTGGTTATCATTTTTTATCAACATTCTTGTATTAATGTTGGAAGTGTTCACAAGGAAACTGCAAGCCCCCAGTCAGCTATCACAAATGAGTCCGATAGTCTCTTTCTAAAGTCCTCTTGAATATAATCCAGATACGGGAGGGGCTGTAGTTCAGTGGCAGAACATGCGTTTGGTATGTAGAAGGTCCCCAGATCAATCCCCAGCATCTCTCGAAGCAGGCATTAGGAAAGACTTTTCTTTTGCCGAGACCTCAGAGGCCCTCTGCCAGGCAGAATAGTCAGCACTGAGCTCTACAAGGCAGCTGCGTGAGATACTAAATGGCAGGGCTATTTTTGGGCAGGAACGCACAGGAACAGAGTTCCGGCTGGCTCCCAAGTTGGCCACACCCAGCAGGAACATATTAGCATAATAGGCCACACCCAAGAGCAGAAACTCATTAGAATTGGCTACACTGGGGTGTCTGGCCTAACATGCAAAGGGTTCCTGCTACAAAAAAAGCCCTGGGTTTTGACCACAAACAAGGTAAACAGAATAAGAAGCAAAAGGTGGGTGTGACTGGATGACCACACTTCTGGTAACGTGGGAATGCGGCTTAATATGCTAATGAGCGGTGCAGTCAGGGGTGTGGCCTAATATGCTAATGAGTTTCTTCTTCGGGGTGTGGCCTATTATGCTAATGAGTTCCTGCTGGACTTTTTCTACAAAAACCCTGCTAAACGGTATTTTGCACATGTCTTTAGTAGGTCACCAGTGACATTTAAATTTACTTTTTGCAAATGTCCGGCTGATTCTTTCACATCGTTGTCGTCCTGTAACTTTGCATCGTATGCAGAGTTACTCCAGCCCCACTGATTTCCGTGGGCTAAACGGGAGCGACTCCGCATAGGATCATTGTGCAGATCTATAATATATTTGCTAGAATTAATGCATGTGGTTTCCAGGAAGCCATGGACAAGAGCATGGAGAGCCGAGAGCACAACTACATCCTGGAGCCCGTGTGTACCTCCGCTCTTCTCAAGAGAAACTGTTCGAAGGAGCCCCTGAGGTCGCGGCATTCTCCCCGGCTTGAGTTTGACATTCAGATGGAGACGATACCTCTGAAACTTTCGCAGGTAAGAGCTGCATGGGGGAAGAAGTTGCCCTGTAAACAGAACATTCCTAATTGAGGGTCGCACAGATATAACACTGTTAGAAGACGAAAACTAATTTATATTAAAATCTTGCCCGTCCAGCCTTCAGTGGCTCGTAACAAATCAAATGAGTTTGTCGAGATGAAATAAATTGGCTTGGCTCAAGTTTAAACATTCCTTTGTGTAAAGCAATGGCATTCTCTCTAAGGGGGTTCAGTTGATGTCACTGATAACGTCACTTTTGAAACAAGCTTCATCACTGTCCTGTGCCGCTTTTCATTTGAGCAGGCCCAGTACCGGCAAATAATGGACTTCTTGAAGGAACTGGACCGAAAAGAGCGGCAGCTTAAGTTTAGAAGATGGAGACCCAAGGTGGCCGTAACTGGAAAGTATGGACGATTGATAACCCCCCGTGCCTTTTAGAACTTTAAATTTTTAAAAAAGGACTCCCAGAGCAAATTTGATAGGATTATGTGTTTTCTTTTTATGCTTCACTGTAGGTTCAGTAAAGCAGTGCTCAGCTATCAGTATTATAATTCTGGGGAGGGGTCCTTTCTAGGAAATGAGTGGGTGACCTGTCTCAAGGAGCTTCTTTGTGTTTTAATTGCAGTGTTAATATTGCCCAAATCATCCTGTAGGCATCTCACTGCTTATTTCAGGCAGATCACTGTAGGTTCAGTAAAGCAGTGCTCAGATATCGGTATTATAATTTTGGGGAGGGGTCCTTTCTAAGAAATGAGTGGGTGACCTGTCTCAAGAAGCTTCTTTGTGTTTTAATTGCAATGTTAATATTGCCCAAATCATCCCGTAGGCATCTCATGGCTTATTTCAAGCAGTGATTAATTTCCCTGGAGGGCATGGCAGATTTGGTGGATGGGCTGTATGGTATACCCTGGAGCCTAGGAGAAATGGATGTTCTAGAGTAGCATATCTTTACTGAGTTTCCCATCCCCAAACTCCATCCTCCCCAGACAGTGCCCCCAAATCTTATAGGAGTCTCCCAAACTGAAGGAGTCAAATCCATGTGCCAGGCAAAAAGCCACTTAGTATGTCATCCCACAGGGACACCTAGCCTAGGAGAAATGGATGTTCTAGAGTAGCATCATATCTTTACTGAGTTTCCTGTCCCCAAACTCCATCCTCCCCAGACAGTGCCCCCAAATCTACAGGAGTTTCCCAAACTGAAGGAGTCAGATCCCTGTGCCAGGCAAAAAGCCACTTAGTATATCATCCCAGAGGGCCACCTAGTGCTGTGTTGCATCATCTGACACCACCTTCATGAGCTACTTTAACTGGAGATGTCAGGGATTGTAGCTGGGACCTTCTCTACAGATAGCGCGTGCTTGATTGTTGAGCCCTAACCTGAAAACTTCCCCCAAACCAGAATTCGGGAGGCTGAACAGAACTCAAGTTAGCTTCCTCAGCATTACAGAGCGGGAAGACAATTCCCAAGCACATTCTGTGTGGGACAGACAGCTCTCGGTGTCAGAGGGAAAATTTAAATCAGCGTTGGGTAAAATAATTGGCTAGTAAAGGGGGAAAATAAGGCTGTCTAGCTTAGAAAGGCGTTGTTCCAGACAATAATCGTAATCCTCACTCCTCTATTTCTGCAGACCAACGATCTTATGTATTGTATCTCTTAGTTGTAATGTTTAGTTTTTTGAGTGTTTAGTTTTTTGAGTGTTATTGAAACGCACTTCTATGTTATTGTATCTTTGTTAATGGCATATATATATAATGGCATATATATATAAAAGAAGGGCGTTGTTCCTGATACTAGCAAGATGACAAAATACTTCAGTCTCTTGAAGGGAGGCTGAGAAATGAACGATCTGTGTCCTTTTCTCCTCTTTTGGATGGATGCTCATTCCTCGTATAATCTGCTTAACTGCCAAAATCTTTGCAATGTTTCAGCTGCCGCGAATGGTGGCTCTTTGCTCTGAATGCAAACATCGCTGAGATCAGAGAGCAGAGAGAACGCTCCTCCTGGGAATTTGCTTTGCATCGGGCTCAAGACGCCGTCTCCTACACTGATCTTTATTACAGGAAGTTGAAAGATGTGCCACTCTCTGCTGCGGAGCAGGTATGGAGAACCGGAACGAGTTGAGGCAACGCCTCACCATTGCCTTCCGATGATGTGAGAGGTGTGGTGTGCGTGATTCCACCTGGAACCACAGAGCTGTTAAAGAAATTGCTTAACTTTCATTTGTTGGAAGCATCATTTAGAGTTGCTTAGCGTTAGAGTTGTATTGGCTTGGATACAATTGCTGACTTAGGATCAGTTTAAACTGAGCACCGTAACGTGAACCTCGATTGTGGCTTTGATCACCAACCCGCCCTGAGCCCGTCCGCGGGGAAGGCGGGATAAAAATCGAATTCAATAAATAAATAAAATACGCAATTTTTAATTTATTTCTGTTTACGCTATTTATCATCTGCCTTTCTTAAGGCGGATGACGCAGAGTGAGTCAATGCAATCGGCAGGATGGGACATTCAGTACACAATGAAATAGGAACGGGGTTGTGGAACCAACCAGGAATCTAAAAAAACCCCCAGAACTGAAGCAAAGCGTAAGGGTTAACGTGACACATTAAATGATGCAAAATTCCATAGTAGGATCCTTGTTTCAGCAAGCTACACACAGTAGTAGAGACTACAGTCCCTAATAATTTTTCCAAGTGTGTGAATCAACTCTATTGCCTGCGTATAAAAGCTGCCTTGAATAATTCAGTTTTGCACAGTTTCTGGAAAGCCACAAGAGTGGGATATAAGTGGGTATAACATTCCAGATCTTTGGAAGTAAAAAACTTTTTGCAGTATTTTTAGGCACACCTCCCCTCCCTCCGATGTTCCTCTGCTGCTCTTTATAAAACCGGACTCTTTATATATTGGTTTTAAATCCATTTGTTTTCAAATCCTCCATTCTAATGGCATCTTTCTAGCTCCATAGCCTTGTGTATATAAAATCTGCCATGGATTATAACACCCACCAACCCTGTTTGCTGCCCCCAAATTGCTGAAAAGAGCTCTTTGATACCGCCTGTGAAAAGTGTTTGTGTCGAGTGTTCTGTGCTGTTTGAGTTTAACCCTAGCTGTTACAGTGCAGAGTCCTAAAAGGATTTGAGGTCTGTCACAGCCAGTTGTTATGATCCATTCTTCTCCTTAGTTTGTTGGTAGCATAAAAGTATGAAAGACATGACTTAATTCATAAATGATCGGCTCAATCTGGGTTTTGTTTCTTGTAATGTTTAGGCTCTGTTACTTCTCCTATTTGGGGAAAAGGGGCTGAACTTGCCCCCCAACATTTCCTGGGTCTTATTTTTTCACCCATAGGAAGAGATGGACCGGATTGAGGACGAACAGACTTTTGAGGAGCTGAAAATCTTGCGTGAGATAGTTTACAAACAATTCCACGAGCTGGCCGAGGTGAGAGGTGGTTTTGAAAGACGCAATCCCTTGTCATTCCAAAGCATTTGGAAATCCTGCTGACTAAGGGAAATGTGCAGAAATTGTACTAGTCAACTAGAACAGAAGATGTAAAAGTCGGGTAATACCTTTCTCAGGGACCAGCTTTATTGGCCCCAGCTTTATTTCTTTATTAGCGACTGACTAAAACATCACTAAGTGGTTAGAGTGCTGGACTTGGACCTGAGATTCATGTACCCGCTCTGCCATGGAAGCTTGCTGTGTGACTATGGGCCTGTCACACACTCTCAGCCTAGTCTACCTCACAGGGTTGTTGTGAGAGTAAAATGGGAGGAAAGGCGAATGATGTAAGCCGTTTTGGGTTCCCCATTGGGGAGAAAGATGGGGTATAAGTGAAGCAAGTAAACAACAGAAATAAAGTGGTGAGCCACATGTTGCCTTTAGCAGGTGTCTTACTCGAGCTATTTTTTCCCTTAATAAAAGAAGAAGGGGGGGGGGGTGCGATTAAAAGATATTGGCCATAACGGGAAGGCCAGGTCTGCAGATGGTAACAGTTTTAAACTGGAGCAAAAGGTGATGGGATACAGGCAGGTCTAATGTGTTCAGAAAAGTGCAACCAGCCTACCTAGATACACCTAGCAGTGGTGGTCTGCGCGCCCAACAGAACAGAGGACTTGCTGGTTCATTTCAAACTATGCATTTGATTTGTTTTTCAGCTGCACTACCAGAATTAACAGCAATGTTACCGAACCGTAACTGCAAATACATTTTCACATTTTTAAATTTAAGGTTTCAGACAGCATACTAAAAATCAAGAACCGCTTCATCAGTAAGCTATGTATAAAACTGTAAGTCAGGGTCTCTCAAAGTGCTGCTAATGTATCAGAAGAGAAAGAGATGGGTTTGGTTCTTTATGTGCGTAGGTGTTGTCAAGTCACAGCCAACTCACAGTGACCCCAGCGAGGGGCTCTCATGGTCAATGCAAATGATTAAGTAGAGGTGGTTTGCCATGGCCTTCCTCTGGAGAGTCTTTCTTAGTGGTCTCCCATCTAAGTACTGACCCTGTTTCTGAGCTCTGATAAGATTGGGCTGTAACCTTGTGCAGTTCCGCAGGGCCTGTAAGACGGAGCTCTTCCACCAGGCGTATGAGTAGGAGCCGCCACTGCCATCACCATTATTCCATCTTCACCTGGCCCTGGATGAGGGAACATCAGTACTTCCCTGGAGCAGACAATGCTGAACAGTTGAAATATGCCTTCTTTGAAATTTCATGTTGAACACCTAGAGCACTTTAGTCAATAACTTGTTAAGAATGTTGGGATTTTAAATGGTTTTAATTATGTTTTATATTGGCGTTTGCCCCTATGTAAGCTGCCCTGAGCCCGCATTGCGGGGAGGGCGGGGTATAAATTGAATTAAATAAATAAATAAATAAATAAATAACCTGCCGCTTCCCCTCCCTTTTGGTTCATTAGAGCATACCACTACGTGTTTTTGAATGTTCGTTTTACAACATTTTTGCAATAGAATACTGAAATGTATTCAGAGAAGCCATAAAGCTGCTTCACAGCTCAAAATCGTGTTTGCAGTGCAAGAATCGCAGCAGGACATAGCTGCCTGCATTCATATCATTCTTAGAACTCACTGAACAGGACTTCGAGACAGTGACCAAAAAACAAGAGTGGGAGACGGGTTAACCGAAATAGCCATTTTGTAGCAGCAGCAGAACAAAATCCATTGAGAAAGACTAGAGGATAATTTCCCATTAACCCTATTTGCTGCGGTTGCATCCCACCAACAGAGCAGCTGCTGTCACAGAGCAAGAAAATAGACTTTGTGATAAGAAATGCTTAATAAAAAATCTCTTAGGTCTGTATTCAGGTGTCTGCTTATTTCAAACAGAGCATCAAGGAGCCGTTACCTGATACCTTGGGGGGAGTCTCTGATCTGGATCTGGAAGCCCCCACCACATCCTGCAGCAGCAGCAGCAGCAGCAGTGGAATGCTGCGGTACCTTCAGTCTTGGTTTCCTGGCTGGGGGGGCTGGTACAGCGACTCCCAGGAAGCATTAGAAGCAGACCCTTTTGAGGGATTGCTCTCAGAGACCCCAGAACACTGGAGACCTGAGGAAGTTGCAGGTCAGTAGATATTTTGACGCCTTTGGAGTTCTGACAGGGTGTGGGTGCAAGCACAGCACGGCTGCCGCAGGAGGCGGAGCATCACAGCATGGCTGCCGCAGGAGGCGGGGCACCAAAGCATGGCTGCCGCAGGAGGCAGAGCCACACATGTGGAGGAAGCCCAAGTGCAGGGGAAAAGAGGGATGCTTTTAGAATAACACTGGGAAAGAGGAGCAAGAGGGAATAAAACCAGCATTGTGACAGCGGCTTCTTCTGAAGCAGTGTTATTTTAGTCTGCACAGCCAATCAGAAGCCCTGCTGAGCAAGAGCTCCGTGTGGGCTAAAAGCTCTTGTTGGGCACCAGGAAGGGGGACGCTATGGCCCCCCCAAGGGTTCCACGCTGGAGACCCCTGCTCTAGAAGAATGTGCTTTGTTGCCACATGGAGAGAGGCGCATGTGTGTTGTAGGAATACACACTTTCTTATTAAGGAACAACTGCAGTGTAATGATTATTTTGTCGAAGGCTTTCACGGCCGGAGTTCATTAGTTGCTGTCGATTTCCCGGGTTGTGTGGCCGTGGTCTAGTTGGCATTGTAGAACCTGACGTTTCACCAGTAGCTGTGACTGGCATCCTCAAAGGTTGTAACACAGAAAGATGTGACACAGAGAGTACTCCATCTTTCTGTGTTACACCTCTGAGAATGCCAGTCACAGCTACTGGCGAAACGTCAGGTCCTACAATGCCAAGACCACGGCCACACAACCCGGAAAATCGACAGCAACTAATTATTTGTTTTATTTATTTATTCAGGTTATATCCCACACCTTTCCCCGCCAAGCAGATCTCAGGGCAGCTTCTAACAGTTAGTTATAAATAAGATCAACATATTGCCATGTAAAAATCCAATGTTAACAAATTTTAAAAACCTAACAATCTGCTATATCAGATGGCACCCCAGCAATCCATTTTATGGTGATGCCCCCCCTATCTTTCTCAAAATCTCAGCAGTGCCTTGCTTGGGGAGCCCTTGGGACAAGGCACAGCATGGGTTCTTCAGGCTTTTAGCCAGGGTCTGGCTAGGATCTGGCAGATGAACATGGGCAGCCTGGCTCACATTCTTGAAATCTCCGCTGTGCTCCTTCTTATCAACTCAGGTGCCGATGAATTTTTTGACCTGAGTTCCGACGTCTCCAGCATCAAGCACCCCTTCACAAAGAGGGACAACGTCTTTGCCAAGTTAAATCTCCAGCTGCAGGGTGGCTCCGTCACCTTGCTGCACGCGGAGAAGCGCAGCCTGCGAGCGAAAGAAAGAGCCTTCATGCAGTTGGAATTTTCAGGTACTGAAAGACACACACACACACACACCCCGGTCATTCCTTTATGTCTCCGCAACACTGTTGGCTGAATTGGATCATCGGCGCCGTTCTGGGGCGTGGGCGAAATTTGCAGGAACGCGAGCTTTGTAAAGTAGGTTTCCAACCGGGCAACTTGGAACGAGGAAGGAATCCAGGGCCCATTTTGAGGACCAGCCTCCTGGGAATCCGCTCTCAAGGGAATACTTGCATTGAATAGTAGTTCTTGTCTTTTGATTTCCTTTGAGCAGTGGTCAATGCAGAAATACCCGTGGTGACACCTGGGCTCTTCGCCTCCCATCCCCTATGATCATGCGTATTACCCTACACAACTTAACAGCAGAAGCAAGCAGAATGATAGGTTGAGGGCCCTCACATTAGCTTTGTACCTTGATAAATACAAAAAAACCTGCCTTGACCTGGATAGCCCAGGCAAGCCTGATCTCATCAGATCTTGGAAGCTAAGCAGGAGCGACCCTGGCAAGTACTTGGATGGGAGACCTCCAGAGAATACCAGGGCCGGGAGGACAGAGGCAGGCTATCAAGCCACTTCTCTGAACGTCCTTCGTTCCCCGGTAGGAGTCGCCAGAGGTTGCCTGACTTCCAGGCACAGGAACACACACACACACGCATAAAAACCAAAAAAGAAAAGAAAAATATTTTTAAAAAACTGTTCATGAGTTTTGATCCATTTGCAAAGTCCACACTTGTTTGATGTCTTGTGCCACACTTGTTTGGTGTCACGCTGTCAGGAGGGCGTTCCCAACCCCCTCCCGACTACAATGGAAGACAGCCCCAATATTACCGAGGAGGAGGGGGAACAAGGAACAGGTTTTTCCCAGGAGGCCCAGGAATATGGGCCCCTAGACCCAAACGAGGGGATGTGGCTGTCAAGGGAGGAGGTAGAGGACGTGGCCACAACTGGGCTAGCCGTCAACGATTGGATAGATGGCAGGCAGGGTGGCAGGTCGAACCTATATACCTGTGAGAGAAGGAGCCCTGAGGGTTGGCTAGATTACTTTAAGGCTTGGGTGGTGGGCACTTCAGGTGTTAAGCAGAAGTGAATAAAAATGTAGACAGGTGGACCCGATGAGGAGGGTTTTTGAAGGAGGTCGCGAGAAGGACAGAGGGGAGTGCTGAAACTCGAACTCTTCCAGTGACCCTTCAAAAGTTGAAAGAGAGTAAGGTTCAGCTCTAAAACAACAGCTCTGAGGTGAGCCTGACAATTTACTTCTGCAAAGACACTCTGGAGTTAACCCAAGACCAACTCAGCACGGCTAGCCTAGCACAGGCTGACACACACGTGTTTCACATTTTATCCAGCAACAAGAGTCTGGGTCTCAGTGCCCCAGGACCAGTTGCTCTGTTGCACTACAGGCGATAACACTGTTCATTGATTGAAATTAAGAATGCAAGAGCTGGATCGGATTAGCCCATCTACTCCTGCGTCCTGTTTCCCACACCAGCTGACCACATGCTGTTGGAAGGCACGTAAGCACAGGGCATGGAGGCCAGAGCCACCTTCTGCTGTTTGTTCCTAGCAGAGCTGTATTCACAAGTACACTGCCTCCAAATACGGAGTTTCCAGTTGAGCTGTTGTTGTTAATCGACGTTTGTGGACAGTGTCCTCCATATCTTTCTTCTGTTCTCTTGGTAGCCACCTAAGGTTGAGACCATCACTAAATCCCATGGCAGTGAGTTTTACAAATTAGCTATGATTGCATGTTGGAAGTATTTTCTTATGAATCTAGTCCCCAGAGTTTCTAGTACTGCCCACAAGGGGGGGGGGAAGAACTGCTCTATATCTCCCCACTTTCTCCACTCCATGCATAATTTTATTAAACCTAATATCATAACACCGGCATCTGTGTCTGTTTTCCAGGAGTGACTGTCCTAGCAGAATCTCTCCCCCGCAGGAACTCTTCCCTTTTCAAAGTTCAGCTTGGCAGCCTCTTCCTCCGAGACTTGGCAACGGAAGGATCTATATTTCCAGTCCTGGTCTTCCCTAACCCTGTAAGTTGGTATTTATGTGGCTGCAACAGTGGCGGATCCATGGAGCTAGCTGGATCCTATCAGCTTTTCTACTCAGATTTGCCCATTTCCCCTCCTTCCTTGCAGCCTCGTGCGGCTTTTGTTCGTTTAAGCCCCCGCATCTCCAGCATAGCTTTTTTGGTAGATTAAAAAATGGCCTCCCCTCTCTCTTTCACCAGAGGGAAAGCTGCTAGGATCCAAACCCTAAAATCAAAATAAATCCACGTAGTCAGCCGTGTTGGTCTGAAGCAGTAGGACAAATTTAGAGTCCAGTGGCACCTTATTCAAGGTATGCGCTTTTGTGTGCACGGCACACTTTCTTCAAATACATTGGAATAGTGTGTAAGACACCTTTGGACATTTATCTGCTATTCGGACATACTTATTGCTTTACAGCTGTTGACCGTATAACCTTAGTTTGTTCTTTTGGACTTCGCATACCTTAAACATCATCATGTTACATGTTCATTTCCATGCCTATGGGTTTGAACCTTACACACCATTCCGATGTATTTGAAGAAGTGTGCCTTGCACACGAAAGCTCATACCTTGAATAAACCTTCGTTGGTCTTAAAGATGCCCCTGGGCTCTAAGTTTGTTCATCAAAATAAATGTTAGTGTTGTGTTTTTTTTTTAAGCATCACTTCTCTAGTAAGGAGAACAGTTAGGTTCAAGTCCAATAGCACCTTAAAGCCCAACAAGCTTTCGAGAGGCAAAGCCCCCCCAAGGGTTTTTGCAATCGAGAGGCTTAGATGGGAGCAACTCTGCTTAGGACTGCATTCTGAAATTCTCCGCGTCTCCTTTTTATCTTTACAACAGCCCTCTGAGGTAGGTTAGGTTGAGTTGAGCACGTGTGACTAGCCCGAGGTCCCTAGCCAGTTTGCATGGCAAAGTGGGGATTTGAATCTGGGTCTCCCAGATCCTCATCCAGCGCTCTGACTGCTACACTGAATTTTCATGTTTATTTTTAACAGGGGTCGTTTCGCAGAAAAAGAGCTAGGGGAACTCATTAGCATAACTCATTAGCATATGCCACACCCCCTGACATCACCGGAAGTGTGTCATAAGGCCACACCCCCATGAGGGGCCCGGCGGTGGACCTGCAAGGCCGGCGGGAGTGCAAGGAAGCCCCGCGAAGGCCCTCCCTGGCCCCAGGCAGGCCGGGGGTGAGGAGAGGCAGGGAGGAAGCAACCTACCCTCCCTCTTCTCCTGCCTCCTCCTGGCTGAAAGGGCCGGAAGTGGGGCGGCTGGAAGCAGGGGGCGGGGCTTCGTCATGTGCCCCCTCCCCCCGTACCTCACCCGGGGGAACTGCGATCCCCCCCGAAATGACCTCTGATTTTTAATCATGCTGGACAAATGTATTGCTATCAGCTGTACCGGTAGTAACACTTCTGGGGAGAAATGTTGGACTGATGAGAAAAGGTAGGAAACCTTTATAACAGGGGTGGCCGAACTGCAGCTCGGGAGCCACATGTGGCTTTTTCACACAGTCTCATTTAATGTTACTAAAAAGCAAATTTGCATATTTTTCAATTAAAACGTGTGTGTAATATGTGTTCATGTCTTGCGGCTTTCAAACATCTGCTGTTTATTCTGTGTGGCTGTTACGTTAAGCAAGTTTGGCCACCCCTACTTTATAACATGAATGAGACTCACTTAGGGTACGTATAACGATATTCTCTATTCTCATTAGCAAAAAGAAGTTGGCTGCGTCTCTTCCATCGGTCTCCAAGCTTCTTCTTCAGACATGAATAATCAGAGCACTGGTAATGTTTCCATTTTTGTAGCAGGTTTTGACTTCTATCGGAACATACCTGTTCGTGAATTCTGTATCCAGATGTCACGGACAAGCCAGGAGCACCTCTAGTGCGCAAGCTCTCTCTCCTTCCCCTGCAACAATGTCCTGGCTTTAGAACTAATCCCATGTTAACAAACAGTGTTTTGTCCCTTGTCTAGGGATGGTAAACTTGGATGGTGAACTGCATTTTAGTTTATAATAGCCAGTTTGGTGTAGTGGTTAAGTGCGCGGACTCTAATCTGGGAGAATCGGGTTTGATTCCCCACTCCTCCACTTGCACCTGCTGGATGACCTTGGGCAAGCCGTAGTTCTGATAAGGGCTGTTCTTGAAAAAGAGCAGTTTTTGTCAAGAGCTCTCTCAGCCCCACCTACCTCACAGGGTGTCTGTTGTGGGGAGGGGAAGGGAAAGGAGTTTGTAAGCCACACTGAGACACCTTTGGGTAGTGAAGGGCGGGGTATAAATCCAATCTCTTCTTCTTCTTCTTCTATAATCCTGCTCGGTAAGCAGGATTATTCTGTTTTAAAGCACCCTGTTTTGACACCAACACATAGTGTAATGCAAACAAAGGAGGCTCTTGATCTTGGCACAGCATGAGCTTAATTGAAATGAAGCAGTGCCATGTTCCATTCCTTATCCACCTCATCTGCCCCTCCTCATCTGTATTTTCCCAACTTCGCCCACCTATGGCTAAACCAGATGTGCCTAACAGGAGCCCTCGTAGATCAGAGCAAGGGTCTGCGTAATCCAGCATCCTCCCGCAACAGGTCTGCAGCAGGGCCTCCTGGCCAAGTTTCCCACCACCCCCCCCCCCCCCCCCCCCCCCCCATTTCTTGCCTCCTAAGAGTCAGCATTCAGATGTACATTGCCTCTGAACACACAGGCTTCCTGCTGGAGAAGCGGATCCAGCCATCCTCCAAGGAGCCTTCCTGCAACTTAAGTAGTTCTTCATTCAACAGAAGAGCTACCTAACTTGGAGGAAGGCAACTTAGGCTCAAGAAAGGCTTCAAACCCGGCACAGCAGAGCAGTGGGATGACTAGGATCCTCCTCTACTGCATTCTGCACCAGTGAGCTCCATCAGTTACTCAGGCATGGTGTGAAGATGTATTTCCTTCCGTCTGTCCAGGATCTACTGCCCAGCGATTCCTTTGAATGCCTAAATTCTTGTGTTTTAGGTGCGGGAGGAAAAGCTCGATCGCCACACCATACACTCTTCACAACCCCTTGCTGTCCCCCCCCCCCCCAAACTGAAAACTGTTAACCTCATAGGGATCAGCGTTCAGAATACGTTTTGCAGAATACGGTGGGTGAGGTGGCAAGGGTCTTCAGCATCCAACCAATAGAACGTGGAAGGAGAAGTTCTAATGGTGGAGCAGTGGTGTCAGGAGTGCTGGACCACTAAAACAGGCCCAGCTTTGCTTATCGAGATGCTTTAGGAAACATGGTATGTACCATGATAGTAGCAATCCTAGCAAGCTAGCATGAAGTCAGCATTGTCTTAAAAAATGATAATCCTTTGCTTGAATTTATGTAGCCTTTTAGCATGAGCTCTTTTCTTGCTGAATCTGTGTGTGTGTTTTTAAAAAGATCTTTTTATGGAGCTCCGTTTCTTTTTATGGCGTTTTGTGATTCTTTCTGACTGTGGTTGTTGTGCTTTGATCCAGCTGCCGACCCCGCTGTCCCAGTTTTTGAGATGCTGTATGAGAGAAACCCAGTCCGCAGCAGTTTTGAGCGACGCCTCGAAGTCAGTACCAGACCTCTAAATATCATTTACAACCCACAAGCCATTAAGAAAGTAGCCGATTTCTTCTACAAGGGAAGGGTTCATACCTCAGGTTAACCTTTTTTGTTTTATATACGTATCTTTTTTCCCTCCATGTCTTTATTTCCTTTGAGTTTTCATACCTAGAACTGTGATGTAGCGTTTAAGAATTTCTTTGATATAATTCAAAATATTAAATAATACAGGTAAGCAAGTAGGTGTTTAATGAGCTGTTCTCTTTTGAAACAGCCCGCTGCAAAAGGCGAGGAAAAAACTACAACTATGAAGTTCCTAATTTATTTTATTTATTTATTTGTTTGTTTAATTTGTATACCGCTCTCCCTACAGACGGGCTCAGGGCGGTTCACAACAGTTTCATTACAATACCGTTAAAACAATAATTAAAATAACAATTAAAACAGTAAAACCATGATATACCGTGCAACGACTAATTCTGATCAGCAGTACTGATATTGAATCGGGCCACCGATGTCAGTTCAGCAGTGCCGATGTACTTATGTATGCAAAGAAAAATTATTCTTATAAACATGAACGGATCATATATAAAAAGGTGAAATCAAGAAGGGTTTAAAAAAAATACCTTCAAATCACACAGATAACCAGCACAAATCTTTGATAGGATTCATACATGATAAACTGACATTCAGATATGATTTATCACATACACCGACATTTAAATAAAATAAAATAAACATTCAGGCACTGTACAAAAATATATACTTAAGATCCCTGGTTGTAGAGTGGCAACTTAAAAGAAACAAGGGGAAGATTCATAGAAGGAAAGGCAAAGGAAGGCAGAGAGAAATTAGTAATAATATACATTCGTCATTTGTATGGCACTGTCACTTCCAGTATTCAGAGTATTGTATAAATAAGGTGGTGGTAGAAAATGTCCCCAGGTCGCAGCTGACTTATGGCCACCCCTCAAGTGGTTTCCAAGGCAAGAGACAGACAGAGGTGGTTTGCTGTCATCTGCCTCTGTGTAGCGACCCTGGTGTTCCTCGGTCGTCTCCCATCCAAGTACTAACCAGGGCCGACCCTGCTTAGCTTCAAAGATCTGGCGAGATCGGGCCGGCTTGATTCATCCAGGTCAAGGCTCTATAAATATACGTACAATTTAAAAAAATCATAGTAAAACGATCAATAGCTCAAGGACAGTGATATTATGATTGGTGCATGCTGACAGAGTAACTCTAATGTGATGGATGCCTGTTGACTTCTTGGATGGGATGACTTGAGTGTTACTTTTCTCTGCTGCCAGATGCTAAGACCGCCCTGTATCCTCCTTGAATGCTTAATACGAGCCTGTATCACTCGGGAGACCCATCCCACATGCAGGCTTCTGGGGTACTTTGAAGCTAAACTTTAGGGACTGGTGTTTGGGGAGGAAGAGCAAAGGTTCCACCTCCACACTGTCTCCTGAACTGAAAATGGTCCCCTAGGGCTGCTTTAAGTGCTATTACTGAGAGATGGGGGGGAGGGACAGATACACTATAGATGCCTCTGGTTCCCTCCCAATACTTAAAAAAACCCAAAGGTTGCCGTTTCAATCGGCGAAAAGGTTTTGGGTGGAAACTTACCTTTCTCCTGATTCATAGTAGGCCCTCCACTGCTTACCTGGAGTCCCAGAATTCCAGTTATCACGTGTTGCTTGGGCCTACCAGTCCATCATTTGGCAGTGCCATTTTTGTTTCTGCCTATCAACCCAAGAAGCTGCCCTTTACCATGTCAGACTATTAATCTGTCGAGGTTAGTATTGCCTGCTCCCACTGACAGCAGCTCAGCTCTCCAGCATCCCACATAGAGGTCTTTCTCATCACCTGCTACCTGATCCTTTTAACTGGAGAAGCTGGAGATTGAACTGGGGGCCTTCTGCATGCCAAGAAGATGCTCTACCACTGGGCCATGGCCCCTCCTCAAAATAACGCCATTGACAGTTAATCTATTGATTTAAGATAGATTCATGTGGGTAGCCATGTTGGTCTGAAGCAGCAGAAAAAAGTTTGAGTCCAGTAGCACCTTTAAAACCAACAAAGTTGAATTCTGGGTATAAGCTTTCGTGTCCTTGAATAAAATGTTGTTGGTCTCCAAGGTGCCATTGGACTCACACTTTGTTCTAGTATTGACATGAATGCAAGACTAGGTTTTTTTCATGGTTATGCCATCAAAAGGTGTGTGTGTGTGGGTCATCTTACATTTGTATACAAGTAATAATCTGTGTGTGTATGTGTAACTTTATGGGGTGGTCTTCTGTTCAGGTTGTCTTTCCTTTGAGTTAAAAGGCTCTTGTCTGGTGTATATATGTATAGACAAAATGAGGCGTCATCCTTCTGTGTCTCTTGGTGCAGGTTTTGGATACCAGTCTGAGCTTGAGCTCAGGGTGGCCGAAGCTGCCAGGAGACAATACAATAAGCTCAAAATGCAAACCAAGGCTGAAATCAGACAAACCATTGACCGTCTGCTGGTGGGGGACTTCATCGTAAGTGAGCTGCAAATGAGCCAAATTCTTGCTTTGCTTCTGTACCCAGGAGAGGTGCATAAAGCCAGCCTATAAATTAGAAAAGGGGACAAGATCCGACGGGGCCTACGTTGGCCTGCAAAGAGCAGAAGCTGTTCATCATTGTTGATTTATTACCATCATAGTTCAGCCAGCGCCAACCCAAGAGCGCAAGCTAAACACTAATAAAAACCATAGAGAACAATAGACGCAAATAAAAACAATAAAGATGCTTAGTCTCATTAAACACTAATTTTCAATAGTACCATGTGGTTAATAGAATAATTGAAGCACCCGCTTCTGAATTGACTGAGCTAAAGCACTAAATCTGATCACCTTCAGGGATGGCTTCATCAGGTAAACAGCAGGTACATCAGATTTATCAGAGCTGTCTGGAAAACTTGAATAAAATTGGAGTAATGTATAAAGAATGAATATCCTTATAAAATGAGCAGTGTAGTGACGCATGTTCAAATGCTTCAGTATCGATTGGCAGAAACAAGAAGTGTTGGGAACAAGGGACACCTAAATATTTGCCTTGCAGCAGAGCTGAGGGTAGAATTTTGAAATGGGCCAAAGCCAAGGCCCGATGGTATTTAGAAAATTCTGAGGCGTAGGGATAGTTTGCTGGAACAAAATTTTGGCTGTGATTCCCTGCCCCCCGATTGCAACTGAACTGTTAAAATGTGAACTGGGCATATTAAGCCAAAAGCGGTGTGTACTTTAAGTCCTCATTAATCTACACTTCAGGGTGTCAAATGTGAATCAGGGGGAAATGGTTTATCAGTCTGTGGCATTTGTTTTTAAATGTGTTTAAGTGCAGTCAAAGCATGCAGCAAGTCTGCCAAAACCCATTCTTTCCCACATTACAGCACAAGTGATGCTTCTCTAAATCAAACCCTTATCACATTGCCATGCATTCTTGTGCCTCTCTAGAGATGAAGGTTAAGAAGAGCTCTGCCAGGTCAGACCAGCGGTCCATCTAGTCCAGCATCCTGTCTCACAGTGGCCAACCAGTTCCTCTGGAGTGCCAACAACAGGGCACAGAGGCTGAAGCCTTCCCCTGATGATGCCTCCTGGCTCTGGGATTCAGAGGCTTAGGTGTCCTTTGTAAATCTTGGACCCTATTGCCAAGACCACGGCCACGCATCCCGGAAAATCTACAGCAACTAATTGGACCCTATTCTTATGTCGCCTGTGTTTTTAGACAGCTGTTCCACTCAACGGAACCCAAGTCAATTCACAACAAGTTAAAGCATGAATGTTTTCCCCCAGGAGAAGTATTCTTGCTGAACCTTTGTGTTTTGTGAGTTACTAAAATTGCCACTGTTCACAATTCAGCTCCCTCTCCGGGGCCTCTAACGTACTTATGTGGATCTTGATTTTAATGTGCACCCATGGAAACTCGTGGGCAACTCCGTTGGAGTTCATTTTGGACAGGAAACTGTGGATGGTGGTCTGATTATAGTTTTTCTAGGATAGCGTCACCTAAACACCTTTTAAAACAGTGCAGGGCCAGCTATTACATGTGTCCCCATTTGTGAAATAGTGGTGACTACATTCAGCAAGTCAGTGCTATAATTCCTAATTGTTTGGCAGTGTTGTTCAGCTCCGTATAAGAGACACTTCCTTTCCCTGGAGGGGTTGTTTATTCCATGTAACATAGTTAATGTGGAACTGAATCTAATTTAATTTTCACTGACAATTCAAGGCTCAAACATAATGTCTGAAAAACAGGCGTTTATGATGTTTATATAGAAAAATGAGAGTTCCTTTCCTTTTTTCCCTCCCGTTTCAGGAAGACAGCAAGCGGTGGACCGTGTGCCTTGACATATCTGCCCCTCAAGTAATCTTCCCCGACGACTTTAAATTTGCAGATCCAGTTTTAGTAGTGCTAGACTTGGGAAGAATGTTACTTACCAATTCTCGAGGTACAGTCAAAGTAAATATTAACAATAAGCATACTTGTTACTACTGGGAGGGAAATGGTAGGAGAAAGATCCAGATAACTGCAGTTTCCCTTTTTAATAGCTTATCTGTGTTTCAGTTCTTTTTTTGCCCAGCTTGTGGTTTTTATTAATTTATATAAAGCATCTTGATCTGCCTTTCTCAAGATGCTGAAGGTGGGTAACGGCATCAATTAGATTACATACCCAGCAAACCAAACAGACTAAAATTAATTCAGACGACCGGAGTTCATAAAATGTACCGGACTTCGCCATCTGAGCAACCACTTATCAGGAAAAGCTCTTGTGAATAGCTCTGCTTTACCATGGCACTGGAATACCAGCAGCAAAGAGGCCTTCCTGATAAGATTAAAAGAAGGCTGTTCCAGAGTACAGGAGCCAATGCAAAGAAGGCCATGGGCCGGGCAGATCAGGACAGAAGCCTACACACACATAGCAGGGTTTGATCTGTGCAGTTGGAGCTGCCACCCAGGTGTGCTGTAGTGGTTAGCATGACGGACCATGATCTGGAAGGCCCAGGTTTGAATCCCCACCCTGCAGTGAAAGCTTACTGGGCGACCTTGAGCTGATCACTCTGTCTCAGCCTGACCTGCCTCACAGGATTGTTGTCATGATAAAATGGGAGAGGGGAGAACAATGTTGTAAGCTGCTTTGGGTCCCCAGGCCAAAGAAAAGTGGAGCATAGATAAATAAAAGGCCATCCTGCTGATATGAAGGTTCCAGGAATGTTGATCCTGTGAACTCAGGCAGATCATGAGAGGGAGGGCAGGAAGGGTTGCATCAGTGCTTAGTTCTCGTGGCCCTTTCTTACCCGCCCAGGGAAATGCTGATCGCCACTTTGGGGTCAGGAAGCCATTTTTCTCCAGGCCAGTTTGGCCGGGGATCCTGGAGGGTTTTTCGGCCATCTTCTGGCCATGAAGCAGGGGTCACTGTGTGTGTGTGTGTGTGGGGGGGGATATTTGTGAATCTCCTGCATTGTGCAGGGGGTTGGACTAGATGAGCCTGGAGGTCCCTTCCAGTTCTGTGATACTGTGAGGTTGTTAAAGGTTTTATGGAATGGTAGTGTTATTGATAGCTTTAAAGACCAACAAGCTTTCCAAGGTATAAACTTTCAAGAGTCAAAGCTCCCTTCTTTGGATTCATATCTGACAAAGGGAGCTTTCGCCCTCGAAAGGTTATACTCTGGAAATCTTGTTGGTCTCTAAATCGCTACTGGACTCAGAACTTGCTCTTGAGCTGCAGACCGACACAACTACTCACCTGAAACGATCTTCTGTTTAATGGCTGCCTTTACTATTGGAAGTAGAAGGAGGGGCAAGCCATAACCGTCTGCTGCTCTTTTCCCCATTCTTGATCCACAAGGGAAGCAGATTCTTGCATGGAAACAAATACTTGCTCTGATCACTCTTTCTCTCTCCCGTCTTCTCAATTTCTAGAGGAGCATAAAAAGAAGAGCCCAGAGGGGCCGTCACTGGATCTGAGCGAACTGAGTGACGACGAATACGTAACGCCTCTCGCCACTCCTCCCAGCACCCCGCCTCCAGAAGCCAGTAGTACCAAAACTCCCGAGATCGCTGGAGTCGAAATCAGCGAAGAGCAGCTGCACGCACACTTGATGAGTAAAAAAATGTACGAGACCTACAGCTTGTCGTTCATGGATCTTCAGATCATGGTAGGGAGAGTGAAAGACAATTGGAAGCATGCTCAGGACAGTGACGTTGGCCCGACGCATGTGGTGGAGAAATTCAACGTTCACTTGCAGCTGGAGCGCAGGTTGATATACACTTCGGATCCCAAGTATCCCGGGGCGGTCTTGTCTGGAAATTTACCAGATTTGAAAATACACATTAACGAAGATAAAATAATAGCCCTGAATAACTGCTTTGGAAGGCTGAGCACACCTGAAAACGAAACCTCAAGTTCTTTCTTCGCAGATATGGACCAGCGTGGAAGCTTGCATAGTTCGGTCGTGAATTTGACTCAGAGTGTCATCACAGTAGAGCAGCACACAAAGGAAGTCCTTGTCGAGTCGCAGCTGTTCTTAGCAGAGTTCAAGGTGAACTGCATGCAGCTGGGTGTGGAGAGCAATGGCCGCTACATCTCAGTCCTCAAGGTTTTTGGCACGAATGCCCATTTTGTGAAGAGGCCTTACGATACCGAAGTCTCGCTCACTGTTCACGGCTTGCTCTTGGTCGATACCATGCAGACATACGGCTCCGACTTTGACCTCCTTATGGCTTCTCACAAGAATCTCCGTTTTGATGCCCCAACAGGAAGTCTTCGAGATAGCCGGCCACAGTCCCCTGTTGGTGGACCCTGTGAGGCCCATCCAATGGATAGGAGAGGCTTGACGGAAACACAACCTGCAGCATCGAGCAGTTTATCCAGTGGCTTCCCCCCACATGATGAATCCTTAATTAAACTGGAATATCAGTTTGTGAGTGCGGAATGCCCGTCTATGAACTTGGATAGCACCCTCCAAGTGATATCAGTGCAGATGAACAACTTGGATATCATTCTTAATCCGGAGACCATTGTCGAGCTGATTGGCTTCCTCCAGAAATCTTTCCCAAAGGAGGATGACTCTAGTCCTCAGCCATTAATGACCGACTTGGAAAGAAGTTGGAGTGACCAAGAATACTTCCAGTCTACCCACGCCCAGTGTACAGAAGTAGCAGTGGATATCCACTCGTTAAACATACTTCTCCTTCGGACTGTTACGATGATAAATGGAGAAAAGCTTGGCAGGAAGATTGCAACCGCGAGCATTGGGGGCACCAAAGTGAACGTCTCCATGGGTAGCACAGTGGACATCAATGGGTCTCTGGGTTGTTTGCACCTTATGGATTTGACCCTGGACAACATAAAAAACCAGTATGTTGTCAGCATTGGGAACACCGTAAGGTATGAACATTTCATTTCTGACATGGGCGACTTCAAGCCTGCGTTTGACGACGCCAGTAGCCTTCCAGACGCTTTGAGCTTCACGTTCGTCGAGCAGTCGGAAGAGGAATGTTCGCTTCACCTCCGGATGGCGTCTTTGCATTACAACCACTCGGCGAAGTTTCTGAAAGAGATCACCTTATCCATCGATGAGCTCGAGGAGAACTTCTGCAGCATGCTGAAGATCGCGGCAACCAAGGTGACGACCGTCTTGGCCACTAAAACCGCCGAATACTCCGAAATGGTTTCTTTGTTTGAGACCACGCCTCGACCGAAGGACTCTTTTTACTTTGAAAGCAACGAAGGGGAGGAACTCCTGCAGCCACGCCCCAAATGTGACACCATCAAGCTGATTTTGAACGTCAACATCGAGTCCCCGGTCGTGTCCATACCCCGTAAGCCGGGCAGCCCCGAACTGCTGGTGGGGCACCTGGGGCAAATATCCATCCAGAATTTTGTGGCGGGAGAAGACAATTCGACAAGCGACAGGCTTCAGGTGGAAATCAGAGACATTAAGATGTATTCTCTAAACAGCAGTCATTTGGCAGGCAAGAAAGAAGCAACCACTGAGATGCTACATGCAGTGCGCTCTCTGGGACCTGCCGGCAGCAGCAGTGGCAGCAGCCAGGAGGATTCTCATTTTACTCGGCACGACTTCTTTGAGTCCTTGCATAAAGGTCACGGTAAGTTGGCCTGAGCTCTCCCCCGCTTTGCTCGTCTCCATTCTGACTTTGTGGACAAATGGCGTGTGCAAAAACGGCTTATTGTCTTACTGTTCTATTTTATTTATTTTATCTGAAACATTTACTAGCCAGTGTTCTACCTTTTGGGAATTCAAGGCAGATTACAATGTAAATAATAACAAAATGTTTAATAGAACACATAGAAACCACTGGTTGAAATCGATGATTTGAAACCGCCAGTAGGCAGAAGAACTAGGCAAATGCCATCATGATGAGTAAAACCGTCTTCAGCTGTGTGCTGAAAATTGAGAGCGAAGGGGCAAGGCGCACCTCCCTGGGAAGGTTCTTCCATAACTGGGGCTGCCCCTGAAAAGGCCCTTTCTCATTTACCCACCAGAAGAGCTTCTTTAGTCAATGAGACAGTTAAGAGTGCCTCTCCTTGTGATCTTAGTTCCCGGGCAAGAACGTAAGGGAGAAGACAGTCCTTTGGTTCTAACCTTTTTCTCCCCATGACTCTGTGTTTAACAGCTTCCAGAGGGGTTGCCGTGTAACCCTATAACCTAAAATGAAAGCTAGCCTTGTGGTCCCAGAATGGGTAGGTAGCAGGTTTACTGTGACATGACCTTTTCTGGTCTAGAGCTTTTGTGCATACAGTTACGTGGGCCCTAGGGCACAAGAGTATCTTCCCCAGGAGGGCTCCTGCTTGTGTTAGATGCAACAAGCTAACGCAACTGCCCCTCTGGAGTTTGTTTAAATGTGCTGGTGCAAAACCAGGTTCAAACAATCTGACGACAAGCCATAAGGCCCTGTTGTGTTATTATTTATTTAAAAATTTCTCTGATGTGTAAATAAAGTAATTTTCCACTGACCTGTCAACTTAAAATGATAGTATTGTCAGGAATTCTAGTGGTTTGGTGGCAGTTCTTAATGGGCCTATAAATGTGGGCTTGATTTATTAGTTGGGTATTATATGAGCACACCGTTTCCCCCTCCCCTGGTGCTTTAGAGAGGGAGGGAGTCCATTCATTACCATTTTTATAGGCAAGAACTAATGGATGGACCGCCTTCCATCAGATACCAAGTAACATCCAGTAACCTCACCTTTGTGTATCCTTAATTACAGCTTTCCATATCTTGAACAATGCTACGATCCAGTTCAGAATGGAGAAGATTCCAGTAGAGAGAGATGCAGAGTTGACCTTCTCCGTGGCTGAGGATGTTGAAACGTCAAGCATCATGAGAATTGAGGGGAAGTTTGTTAACCCTTTGCAGGTAGAGTGCATTTGTAACACTCCCCCCACCCCAGTAGACTGTGCTTAGTTTTAGGTGGTGAATGTTTAAATGAAAACAAAATTAAACCAGAGTCTAGTGGCACTTTAAAGACTAACATGTTGCTTTCGTAAGTTGTAGCTCCCTTGCATCAGTTTCCAGAACTGTAAGATGCATGTGTTTGGGTTAATAAAATGTACTAAACCCAAGAAATGTTAATGTTGGTCATTTCCTCCCCTCTCTTGCATCTGATGAAGTGAGCTCTGACTCATGAACACATATGCTGGGAATACATTTTTGTTGATATTTTTTTAAAAGTGCCAATAATAATAATAATAATAATAATAATAATAATAATAATACCGTATATACTCGAGTATAAGCCGACTTTTTCAGCACATTTTTTGTGCTGAAAAAGCACCCCCTCGGCTTATACTCGAGTGAGAAAAAAAATGACCCCAGAAAATGCCGCCGCTCCGCAGCCAGATATCAGCCTGTAGTCACTGCAGCCCGCCTGCCTAAACTGATCTAGTCACTGCAGCCCGCCCGCCTAAACTGGTTGCTAGATCGCCTCCCGACTGGCGTCTAGCAACCAGTGACGTAAGAGAGAGGAGAGCGGAGACTGACGTGCCAATAATAACAGCGGAGTTAAAAGACCTCCTCCGCTCAGCAGAACACTAGAAGCCGCCGCTGCCCGCCCCGCCTCCACTGGTTGCTAGATCGCCTGCTGATTGAAGGATTTTAACTCTTATGTTTTAACTTTGTTCGCTGCTTGAGCTAAGGTTTTTGTACTTTTAAAGTTATTGTTGATACCATATTGTTTTTGTTGACCCTCTTTTCCACTTATAGAGCTAATTTACTGTTTCTCTTTGAAATAAATATTATGTGTTTTTAATGTAATTTTATTGGTATCTATTATTTCTGAAATTTACCAGTAGCTGCTGCATTTCGCATTTCCCACCCTAGGCTTATACTCGAGTCAATACTTTTTCCCAGTTTTTTGTGGTAAAATTAGGAGTCTCGGCTTATACTCGGGTCGGCTTATACTCGAGTATATACGGTAATAATAATAATGCTTTCGATTTATTGATCGCTCTTTCCCACATACTTGCGGGCTCAGAGCGATTTACAGTTACTCTTGAGACAGTCGGACTAACAATATTTGTGGGGATAGGTGAGACAAACATACAGCATTAATTACACACACATTGCAGCTAGCCGGGCTTCATCTGCGGGCTCACCTGATAGGCTTCTGTTTATTTTTTGCTGCAACAGAGTAATATCTACCCTGCTGGAATCATTTTTTTTAAATTGAATGAGCAGCTAGATTGAATGACTGGTTAGCCTGGTGTATGTTTAAGAGACTAGCTCTATTAAATTCTGTGAAGACATGAGAGGAATCAAGGCTAAGAAACAGTGACTTGAGCTGTATTCACCAGGGAGTCCTACGAATTTGATCAAGACAGGTAGCCATGTTAGTCTGTCTGTAGTAGTAGAAAAGAGCAAGAGTCCAGTAGCACATGAAGACTAACAAAATTTGTAGCAGGCAGGATAGGAGCTTTCGTGAGTCACTGGTATATGAAGAAGCGAGCAGTGCTACTGGACTCTTGCTCTTTTCTACTGCTATGAAGAATAAGAAGTTTCCATCTGGAAGGGGAATGTCTGGACTTGGTTGGAGGAACTGAAACAGCACATAATAAAGGTGACACAGCAGAGGGGAGAGGGAGGGTAGGCATAAATGCCTTGGGGGTCTCGTTGGGGAAATCTCAAATAGCTTAGAGGGATTAGCTTAGATTTGGAAGAGTTTAGATTCGGAATGTTCTTTTCTCCTGCTCCAATTGGATCCGGCATGAATTCTGGAAGCCATGTTTGTACAACGCTGCAGGCTGTGTTTGGGTTCTCTGTGTCCCGTCTGCCTCATTGCCTGCTGTGTGTGCAAGAGAGGAAGTATCTTTCTTTAAAAAACAAATGTGTGTGTGTGTTAAGGGCCATCAAGCCACTTCTGACGTATGGCGACCCTATGAATTAATGTGCTCCAAAATGTCCTACCTTTAACAGCCTTGCTCGGGTCTTGCAGACTGAGGGCCACGGCTTCCTTTTTTGAGTCAAACCACCTCATGTTGGGTCTTCCTCTTCGTTTGCTGCCCACAACTTTTCCTAGCGTGTAATGATTTCATGTTTTGGTGTGTGTGTTTCTTTAAATGTTTAGTTTGACTGCAGTAATGTAAGGAGAGTGATAGAGGGAGATGAGTGTGATGTGATTGGCTGATGACTGAGAGTGTGGGAGGAGGGGTGTCTCTGAGGTGATTTAGTGTGTTCTTGAAGAGATGAGTGTGGAGAGTTTTTGAGAGAGTGTATGACAGAGGAAGAAGTTGGAGTTTAGCCTGTGTGGCTATGATCAAGAGAATTTAGCCTGTGTGGCTATGAGAGAGAGAAGTTTAGCCTGTGTGGCTATGAGCAAGAGAGTTTAGCCTGTGTGGCTATGAGAGAGAGAAGTTTAGCCTGTGTGGCTATGAGAATAGACTGAGTGTCTAAGCCTGTCAGAGTTAAGTTTTGGTGTTTGAGAGACTGTGTGTGACGCCAAGCTTTGTCAGTTATATTTTCTTTCTTCAACAACAGTTCAAAAATACCCAGAATCCTATTTTGTTCTTTTATAAATAAATCATTATTTGTTTTAAACTTGTCCCAGTAATCAGAACAGTCCTTCCTCAGGGCCACATAGTCCTCTGAAGCGCCCAGGCACTGGGTCATTCTACCAAATGGAGAGATCTGGAATTTTTAATTCCTGGTGGCAGCCGAAATCTACTAAATTCATGTACACAGAGACTTAAAGGAGAAACAGTCTCCCCAATAAGCTGGACGCCACATAGCATTATTGTCTTTTCAGAGACTCTTGCCTTCTCATAATATGACCAAAGTATGATAGCTTCAGTTTAGCCATTGTAGGTTTCAGGGAGAATTCAGGCTTGGTTGATCTAGAACCCACTTATTTGTCTTTTTGGCGGTCACGGGATCCGTGAAACTCTCCTCCAACACATTTCAAATGAGTCAGCTTTCTTCCTGTCCGCTTTCTTTACTGTCCAGCTTTGACACCCATAATAATGAGGAATAATTACCTTGATCTTGGTCGCCAGTGTAATGCCAAAAAAAGGCCTATTTTGGATATGGGCTGTTTCAAGCACCTGGATGTGTCCATTGCTATTGATACAAAATATGCTCTTATTGGCATACATTTCTCCTGGTAATCTAAGGCAACGAAACTGGAATGTTAGTCTGGAAATGTATTTTGAGCTTTCTTTCTTCAACAACAGTTCAAAATATACCCAGAAACCTATTTTGTTCTTTTATAAATATAAGTGGTCTGATTTATAAGTGGTCTGATGTTTATAATTTATAAGTGGTCTGATGTTTATGGTTTGTGTTTTTATGTCGGGCTAGGTGTTTTAATGCAGGGTTTTAATTATCATCTTCAGCGTTTTATTTGTATTTTGTAAGCCACCTCGGGCAAGTTCCTGGAGAAGTGGCATTTTTAAAAATAAATCAATAAACAAACATGAGTAAGGATTCCCCCCCCCCCGAACCATGAGATGCACATGTCTGGGATAGTGAAATGTATGAAAGCTGAGAAATGTGAAATGTTGGATATTCTCCACCCCCACCCCCCCTTGAATGCAGGTGGTGTTGGCAAAACACGTCTATGAACAAGTTTTGCAGACTCTCGACAACTTGGTTTGCAGCGAAGATCTGACGAAGCCCTCCTCCGACTTCCCATCCTCCTCCTATCCCCCTTCCGGTTCTCCTTCTGCATCACTTCGAAGCACAAGTTCCGACTTCTCCACGGAGAGGAAGGAGAACGGACTCTTCAGTCATTCCAGTTTTTCTATGGCTTCAAGCAAGTTCGCTCCTGTCAAGGAAGCGACTCAGTCTTTTACCCAGATCCAAGCCAACTTCCATATTTCTGAGCTGCAGGTTCAGTTAAGTGGTGACCTGACGCTTGGAGCCCAGGGCCTGGTTAGCTTAAAATTCCAGGATTTTGATGTCGAATTTACTAAAGATCACCCTCATACCCTGTCCATCCAGATTGCCCTACGGTCTCTGTTGATGGAGGATCTTCTGGAGAAGAATCCAGATTCTCTGTATAAGAACCTCATGGTGTCCCGTGGAGCCCCCAAACCATCCACTTTAGCTCACAAAGAATACCTTTCCCAATCCTGCCCCTCTGTGTCTAATGTGGAATATCCGGACATGCCCCGTTCCCTCCCTTCGCACATGGAAGAAGCCCCCAATGTCTTTCAGTTGTACCAAAGACCCAGTTGCATCTCCCACAAGAAACAAAAAGATGACGCGGATTCAGGCTACCCCTTAACTCCCCCTCCTTCTCCCACTGCGAACAAGCCGAGCGCTCCTTGCGGGAAGAGCGATTTTGACGATTCTTTGGTGCACATCAATATATTGCTAGTGGACAAGAAGCACCCAGAGTTCTCTTCCAGCTACGGCAGGATCAACCGCAGTGTGGATGTTGACTTCAACTGCTTAGATGTCTTAATAACTCTACAGACCTGGGTGGTGATCCTGGATTTTTTTGGGATCGGATCCACCGCCGAGAACCATAGCATGAAGTCGCAGCCTGAAGACGTGCAGCAGGCAGTGAAGTCAGAAGCGAGCATCCTGTCAGACCTGGAATTCCAAGATTCTGTGAACACCAAACTGGACCTGAAGGTATGGGAGAGACCTTTAACACCGATGACTTCTGTTGTCAAAAATCGTTCTGTTCACAGCTTGTGATTTTTTGGAAGTTTAATTTTTGCCGGGAGCACGGATATCTTAAAACTGTTGCTGCCTTCATGGTTTGGAAGCCAGCAGCGGTTTGGTTCTAAGCAGAGGTTAAAATGAACCTTGGTTTAGTGTAATCTGCACACGTGTAGCTGCCTTATACTGAATCAGATTGGTCCATCGAGATCAGTATTGCCTACTCAGACTGTCAGCGGCTCTCCAGGGTCTCAGGCAGAGGTCTTTTGCGTCATTCCCCCCCCCCCTTTTTGCTGTCAAGTCACAGCAGACTTATGGCCACCCGTGGGGTTTTCAAGGCAAGAGACATTCAGAGTTGGTTTGCCATTGCCTGCCTCCACATCATGACTCTGGTATTCCTTGGAGGTCTCCCATCCAAATCCTAACCAGGGCCTTGCCCAGCTTAGCTTCTGAGATCTGACAAGATCGGGGTAGCCGTTCTATCCATGTGAGGGCTTATAATAGATAATACCTATTACCTGTGGGGGGTTTTTAACTGAGATGCCAGGGATTGAATCTGGGACCTTCTGCATGCCAAGCAGATTTTCTGCCGTAGCCCCTCCTGGAATTGAGACTTGTGTCCTTACCAGACAAGGTCAGTGACTGGACTGATCTGTGTCTAGGTATCAGCTTGGCATTTTGTAGCAAATGCCACACTACAGATCTCTCCCTTTTGCAGCTGTATCCCGCTGCATCTTTCTAATCTGCCTGCCCTTCGTATCCTGATCTCATATGGATGACGTTGTTTTTTTTAACTACATTGAATTGAACTGAAGAGCAAGGGTGATATATTTGTTATTCTTTGTGGAGTCACACTGTTTTGTGCACGGTGCCAGTCAACGTTCCCTCTAAGCTGTGGAGTCTTGTGAGCAAAAATTCTACTTTGTGAGCTGCTTGCATTAAAGTTGTGAGCGAGCGATTTGGCTGCTGCATAACTTAGTTTGCTCTGGAGCCCTCCTTCCTGAGCGAAGACCAGAATGTGTGAGCCAGAGGCTAAAGAACTGTGAACTAGCTCACACTAACTCAGCTTAGAGGGAACACTGGTGCCAATCCCATCCTTTCTGCCAAACTAGGTCCATTCCCTGTCCTTGGTTCTGAATAAGGCGACCACAGAGCTTGCTAAAGCGAACGTCTCCAAGCTTGCCACCCACGTGGAGATAATCGGTAAGTCTGAGCTATCTTTACCTTTCTAAGGAGAGGGGTGACTGTAGCAACGATACATCACATTGGAATGGTTTTGGTACTACGAAATCCCTCCTTGCCTTTGAACTTGTTTCCATTTGCCACACAAGTCCTTTAAGCAGCACGTTCAAGTAGGTTTCAGGTAGGTGCTGACTTCTGGGTTTAAAAAAAAATTAGATCATACCGGCTTGATCCTTTTAAATGCTTATTGCCGCAAGTGTCTCCTTTTGAAAACTGGCTTAAATAAAACCTGACATTAAATTGACGTGGTTTGTGTGAGGCTGCCGAACAGAAAACCCAAGAGATCTGAGCCACTTAACATGCAAATAGATATGCCTGGAGGCACAGGTCTCCAAATTCTTATCTTGTACAAAGATGCAATGGAGCTGCGGTGGCTCAAGTGGTTAAGACGCTGAACTGCAGGCTCTGGAAGGTCGGTAGTTCAGCAGTTCGAGACCCGGGTACCGCATGATGGAGTGAGCTTCCGTCTGTGGCCCCAGCCCCTGCCAACTTAGCAGTTCAAAAGCAAGAAATTGCAAGTAGATAAATAGGTACTGCTTCGGTGGGAAGGTAACAGCATTCCATGCGCCTTGGTGTTTAGTCATGCCGGCCACATGACCACGGAAACGTCTTCGGACAGCGCTGGCTCTTCGGCTTTGAAATGGAGATGAGCACCGCACCCCTAGAGTCAGATTCGACTGGCTTTCGAGCAAGGGAGCCTTTACCTTTACCTTTTTACAAAGATGCAGGTGCCCCCTCGCCGCCCTGAATTAACTTTTAAATCTGTTTGGGAGCAATACTCCTTCAGTGATGTCAGACTGGTGTTCTTTCTGTTTGCGCAGAAGGTGACTTGGCCCTTCAGGGAAGCATCGGGAGCTTATCTTTAAGTGACCTCACCTCACATGGGGAGCTTTACCGAGAACGCTTTACTACCAGTGGTGAAGAGGCACTCACCTTTCAGATCCACAAGTAGGTGCTGGAGGTTTTTCTTGTTTCAAAAGGGATTCTGCAGGGCACCAAAAGATTATTTCCCCCCCCCGGCTTTACAACTGGCCCCGTATAACATCTGGACTCTCCTCACCTTTCAGGAACATCTTTTCCTTAACCATTGGTATGATATTTATAAAAGATCTGTTGGTATTCAGGGAGAAATGTATGCTATGATAACATTACATTCATCAGTCCTTGCTCAAATGTATGCGTTTTGTTTCCTGCCTGTGGGGTCTCCATTGCGTGGGTTAACCTGCGCCCTCCTTGGGGTAAGGGGCTAGATGCCAGGATTGTAGTCCTGACATCCAGTCTTCCACACCCCGTTCTTCTGTGATTCATAATATATTTGCTTCAAATTGCAATCTCACCCAATTCTGCTCCTCAGTCTGAATGCCATCCCCCTCCTTACTACAGTCCCCATGCCCCATGAGCTTTTGTCCAGTGCAGTTCCCACGATCTTCCTCATAGGCTTTTTTTTGGGGGGGGGGTCAGAAGAAAGCCCCCTTCTGCCTTTCCCGCTGGCAGAAAAGGTAGATGAATCAGCAGCATCGGTGTCCCAACAGACTCCTAATACTGGGCTCATCTGGAAGAACCAGCTGTCCACAGCAGGTTCAAACAATATCACATAGAGCTTCCTGAACGTCTCCTTCTTTGCCAGGTATGGCCGGCCCGATCCCCTGCTGCAGAGAGATTGTGACATACGTGTGAGCCTGCGGATGGCCTCAGTGCAGTACGTTCACACCCAGCGCTTCCAAGCGGAGGTGGTGTCTTTCATCCAGCATTTCACTCAGCTCCAGGACGTCTTGGGGCGCCAGAGAGCAGCGATTGAAGGGCAGACGGTATGCTTCCGTGACTCTCTTTTGCCGCACAGGGGTGTTGCTAACTTTTGAAAGTGTGGGTGGAGTCTTCTAGCTGTTGGGAGAAAGCCTCACGGTCGTTACATTGCAAAAACAAACAAATAAATGGCTGCAAGACATACAATAATTGTTTGTTACCCATCTCAAGCCTATGGATTTCTTTTGATTTATAATTGTTATTATTTATTTATCATTTGAATTTATAATTTATAAACTACCCTCCCCTAAGTACACAAGGTAGAAGTCAGACTGAAAACGTTCATAAATAATAAGACACTTTAAATGATACATTAATAATCAATAGATAAAACAGTCTCCGGTCACGCAACTTTCCAGTTGTGTGTCTGCCTCCCGGGGACGTAGAGAAGTGGGGAAAATGGAAGGAAAGGGGGAGTGCCAATGAGATGGTATCCATTGCTGTCCTCCGCCAAAATCCTGACGGAACTTCTCTGCCTTGCAAGCCCTGAAGAACTGCATTAAGTCCCGCAGGGCGTGGATGTTACCTGGCAGAGAGTTCCACCAGCCAGGGCAGAAAAGGCCCTGGCTCTGGTTGAGGACAGCCGGGTGTCTTTTGGGCTGGGGGGGTCACCAGTAGATTGTTCACTGCAGAGTGTAACACTCTTCAGGGGACATACCAGAGGAGACGGCCCCGAAAGTACGTGGATCCCTGACCACTCATAGTCTTAAAGGTCAACACCAAAACCTTGAACCTGACTCGGTACTCCACTGGAACCCAGTGCCGCTGTCGCAGCACAGGTTGAATATGTGCAATCCGCGGCACTCAGGTCAGGACCCGTGCCACATTCTGGACCAGTGGGAGTTTCTGGATCAGTCTCAAGAGTATACTAATTTATACTCCGCCTTTCCTCCCAGGGCGAACCCAAAGCAGCTTACAGCACCCCTCCGTTGTATCCTCACAACAACCCTGTGAGGTAGGATAGGCTGAGAGCGTGTGACTGGCCCAGGTCACCCAGCAGGCTTCCATGGCAGAGGGGGGTCGGGGGTCGAACCTGGGTCTCCCAGTTCCTAATCCAGGACTCTAACCAGTGCACCGTCCTGGCTCTTAGCTCGGGGTGAGTGTATCAGTTTTAATGACATAGCTGATTCGCAGCCTTGCGGGAGAAGATGGAACCATCGCCATATTCAGGCACCATGGCAAACCCCTCTCCTGCGTGTGGGAAGCTTGCATGTCGCGGGTATCCAGAGTTCGTCCTTGACTTTAATTCCCTGAGGGGCGGAGGCGTGAAGCGTGAGAGCCGAGCGACAAGCTGGGCTTGTGCACGGTTTTACTTGACCCCATCGAAGGGGCTCTTGTAGCTCATGGCACCGCTCAGGGTTCCCGAGACGGCTCCTGCTTGCCCCTAGGTAAGAGACCAGGCCCAGCGTGCCTCCAGAGTGCTGCTGGACATCGAAGCCGGCGCTCCTGTCCTCCTGATCCCCGAAAGCTCCAGATCCAACCACCTGATCGTGGCCAATCTTGGCAAGCTGAGAGTCAAGAACAAGTTCCTGTTTGCCGGCGCCGCGGGTACCTTCTCCCTGAAAGACAAGGTAAGGCTCTTTATTCCTCTCGTTTGCTTGCCCGATTGCTAGGTTTTGCCGCTGAATTGAGCAGGTGCTAAAGATTTGACGTGTAGTCCCTTAACGTTGGTTGTAATATTTCTGTTCCTTCCTTTCTTGAGGATTTGATTTTGCAAGGCGGCGCGTACAAGGACCCTATTTTATGTGAGGTATTTCAGAAATCCTTGTGGAGACTCCCCCCCCCCCCCCCCTCCCTGAAAAGAAAAACGCCAAACTTGTGGAATTCAGCCCTTGTCCAAATCTCATTCGACGTTTGGGTATCCAAAAGGAGCTGTTCGTATTTCCTCGATCCATTGCAGAATTCCAGAAGGGTTGGTGTGGAATGGAGTTTGCTGTGTCCCTGCAACTGTGTCCGTTCACCTCTTCAGGGAATAAATGGTTGGATAAAGGATCTGGTTTTCCATAGAAGTGCATGAGTTTCTGCTTGCAGTTCAATTTTATAAAGAAATAAAATATTTGACAGTATTAGGGGCATGTACCCAGAGGGTGGGTAGAACAGAGTACTCTTTCTTGTCAGTTTTCTGCATATTATCTAAACACTTCTCTCTTTTTTTGCTTAATGTTCACTGAGATATTTTGCTTAGAGATTTATACCCCACTTTTCTCCCCAGTAGGGACACAAAGTGGCTTCAAGGGTCTTTCTCCCCTCCTCAGTTTTTATCCTCACAACAACAACCCTGTGAGGTAGGTTAGACAGGGAGAGAGAACGACTGGTCCCCTAGAAACCTTCCATTGTCGTGTGAGGATCTGAACTCGGGTCTCCCTAGGCTGATGCTTGAACCACCACACCATGGTGGCTCGATGATACTGTGAAATGTTCCATGCGGCTAAGAATACCACTGTGGAAGTGGCAGCTGCCCTTTGGGTCCTTTCCTTATGCGGTCATGAGTTGGCAATGAATGGGGGTGGGGGGGGGTGTCGGCTAGCCCTGTCAAAACTTGGGGAAGACCTACCAGCACAGTAAAATCAGCTAGTGCCCTGCCAGGTGTGAGTGGCTACGGACAGGAAGAATTGGCCCTACTTAGCTCAGCTGCCTTACAACACTGTTAAAGTAGTTCCTATTTCATTTATTCTTGTTATTTTAAAAACAATCTTCTTTAAAACCACAACCGAAGGCTATCCCTGGTGTTCCGGGATAGAAGCCAAAGAGAAGTCTTACGTGAAGCACTGAGGTTTATGCAAACCTTGATGCTGAAAAAGAAAGATCTGTAATTTACTCTGCTTGTGTGTGTGTGTGTGTATATGGCATCATCACAGACTCTTGGGGTCTTTATTAAATTGTTTAGTGGAATTTTAATGTTTTATATGTTTTATGGCACTATGCACCTCTGTACATTGCCCAGAGCCCAATGATGTACTTAGGGCGATGAACAAATTTAATTAATAACGATATATTATATTGGTTCTCAATACAAGTACATTCGGGAACGAGCTTAACAATCTAACCTGCTGCTGATTAAAGCTTGTTTGTCGTGATGTTAGAACAGGAGTCCAGTGGCACTTTAAAGCGTAACCTCGCTTTGTCAGTTTCAGGTGGGCCGCTGCCGTATTGGTCTGTAGTAAAAGAGCAGGGCTCAAGACCAGCAGCAACTTAAAAGACCAACCAGATTTCCAGGGTATAAGCTTTCAAAGTCAAAGCTCTCTCCATCCGTTACCACTGACAAAAGGAGCTTTGACTCTCAAAAGCCCCGGACCTCTGTCTTTATTCCACTGCTACACAGTGACATAGCTACCTATCTGGGCTTAGTGTCACGATTTAAGAAATGAGCTGGCCAATGCTTGACCGATCCATCCACCAATCAAGTATTTTTAAAAAAAACAACTGGTCACATGGCCAGCCCTAGTGGCATATCTCCTTATATCCTCCCCTTGCTCAGGCACCGGAGGAGCTGGACAGTCCAGCCCTTCTGGGTCTCCCGATGCACAGTTCAGCATCATGGGGGTGAGTGGGCAACATGACGGGAATCTCACAGCTTTTCAAGAAGATGGTTCCGTAACATGTTCTTGCAACTAGAGAGAAGGTTCTTATTGTATTTAGCCATAGGCCATTACGAACCGCAAACAGGGAAGAATGCAATAAAACATAGAAAATTGTATAAAATGAAAAAACAGTCTAAAACATTGTAAATCCATAAAACCGAGGTTATAAACAGTTAATTAATTCACAGCATACCCACTAAAATCAGTATTAGCTAGTTCCCCTAGGAACAGCGTTGGCCCGTATTTTCCTTGCAGCCCAGGCAAATAAAGCCATTCTGTTGGATACATCGGCGTTGGCATCGGCTAGCAAAAATATAATCTTCTCTGGGACTGAATAAAAGCTTAAAACTGATAAAATACCAGATAAAAATTTTGACCTAGGTTGGGAATACAATGGACAATCAAAAATGTAATGGCAGAGATCCTCAATATCAGGAGAGCCACAAATACATAAACGCTGTGCCTTGGGTGTTCTACTATAGCAGCCGACCAATACGGCCGTAGGATTCTTGCAACTAGAGCCAGGGCTATCTCTCTCCTCCTGTTTAACCAGCATTCACTATTAAGTTGTTCGGGTCCAGCTGGATCCAGTTACTTAAAATAAATTGTCTAGCCATTTCTCTCAGTGGCATTTTTTTCTCTAGGGAATGTTACGGAACGGCTGTTCCTCAATTCTGGGGCCGTTGGCCTTTTTGGTTTCTTTCTAGCAAGATTCTGCTCAGTTTTCTTCACCCCTGGGAACGCCGAAACACAGCATGAAGAAAACATCAAGTACGGATGAGTCCAAGGCGGCAGCGTCGAGTCCTTCTGAAGGGTTGTTCATGAAACCGTCATCTTCCGGACCCAATCTGAGACTGAAAAGTGACGCCACGGCGAGTGTTTTAACCAAGCCTGCTAAGCCATCCTCTTTGGTAGCCCCAGACAGTTCGGGTAAGTTGGAAGGGGTTGGGGCCCAGTGGTCACATTTCTCTCTTCCCCTAGTTTTGGTGGTCCTGATCCGATTAAATGCCAGTGATGTGGCACACTGGGCCCTTCCGTGTGTGTAAACCGTGCCCTCAAGTCGCAGCCAACTCATGTCAACCTTCATGGGGTTTCGAAGGCAAGAGATGTTTAGAGGTTGTTTGCGACTACCTGCCCCTGCTTTACAGCCCTTGGACTTCCTTGGTGGTCTCCCATCCAAGTATTAACCAGGGCCGATCTGCTTAGCTTCCAAGCTCTGACAAGATTGGGCTAGTGTGAGCTATTAAGGCTGCTACCAAGCCAGGATAGTGTGGCAGCTGTCCTTTACACAGTAGGAACACACGCTTTAGTGGAGCATTTTTTCCCCTCGTAGAGTTTTGTTGGGGAAGAATAACGATTCTGGATTAATCTCTTGCAGAGGAACATGTCTGCCTGTTAGACTGCATTGTGGTTGATCTGCAGGATATGGATATTTTTGCGGCTGAACGATTCCCCAGAGAATATTCAAAGGCCCCAGAGGAAACCAGAGTGGATATGACCTTCCCTTCCTGTGTTGTCCGGCAGACGGGCAGAAGCCTCTTGGCTGAACCGTTCCGACTGAAGCTGCAAGTGGGAAGAAACTTGGACAAGTAGGTTGTGCGGCTTGATGTCACTTCACGTGAATGCTGGTTTTCCCCTCCACTTTTAGCTGGAAGGTCTTTCTTTCCAGTTTGTTTATGTAGTGGTCCATTGTCCTTTCATTAGGAACGTGTAACGTAATGTCCTGCCTGGGAGAGGCCCTCCTGACTGTCCTCTCGATTAAAGAGCTTGCCGAAAGAGGGCCTTTGTACACGAAAGAGGGCTTTTTGGGTGGCAGCCCCATGGTTATGAAACAACCTCCCCAGGGAGGTGCACCTGCCCCCCCCCCAAGGAGGCAGCTGAAGACAGTTTTATTCAGGATGGCATTAGATTTTTTTTTTAGTTATTAAAATACCTGCTCAAATGCAATACAATACAGTAGGCAAATTCAAAAATAAAGAACATCCTCTTGCAGTATAAAGTATTTCACCGTGCCCTACAACAATAAAATCTCATCATATACATATTTGACCTCTGATATACTAACTATCCTTAATTGTGACATCAAGCAGATGTATCCATAAGGCACCTGACTTACAATTTCAACTGTATAGTCTTAATAGGCATACTATTTTCCTAACTGTTGTTGACTGACTTGTTTCACCCATATGTTAAAAGCTTAAATTTGACTTCTTTCAAGTTTCCCCTGTCAAGCTTGTCAACGTCTAGCTTATCTAATATCGGGTCCCATTTGTCTAATGGGTTTAAAAGTTCACTATCATCAACCTCCCTGTTAGTAATCATCGAAATTTTTTCTAATAAGTAGAAATCCCAGGTTTTACGTAACCACTGCTGTAGTGTGGGGGGAGTTTGGGCTTTCCAGGATTTCCAAATATGTATATCACTTTCCAAATATGTATATCACTACTTTAGCTGCTATTATTAGCAAATTGTTCAGCTGCCTTCTTTTAACAGGTGGATTAGTTTAGTTTTGTTGGTAGCTGTAAATTGTGGGTTTAATTTGTGGCTTTTAATGTATTTTACCAATTTTTATGCTTTTTCTTCTGCTTATATTGTAAGCTGCTTTGACTTCCTTACGGTAGAAAAGTGACTAATAAATGCTTTCAGTAGAATGATAAAAACAATAGTTTTTGTAAAGGTGTCTGCCAAACTATTATTCTTTAGGCAACTTGCTCATGTTGTGATTCAGAAAGTCTGTTTTTAATGTTGTTGTGGTTTCTGGACCTTTTTTCTCTCTCTCTTGCAGAGAGATAAGCCACTCAGTTCCTGACGTATCCATTCATGGCAACCTGTCATCGGTCCATTGTTCTCTGGATCTCAGTAAATATAAACTGATCCGAGGACTCCTCGAGAATAATCTGGGGGAACCGATAGAGGAGTTCATGCGGCCGTATGACTTACAAGACCCAAGAATACACGTGAGGACAATGCGGTTTTCCGGATGAAAGTCGGCTCTGGGATAATCAGAGTTAGTTAATGTTGTGTTAAGGTTATGGCTGCGGTATATAACCGGTTAATAGGTGAGAGTTACTGATGGCATAGAATCATGGAATCACAGAGTTGGAAGGGGCCAGACAGGCCATCTAGCCCGACCCCCCTGCTCAATCCAGGATCAGCCTAGAGCATCCCTGACAAGTGTTTGTCCAGCTGCTGCTTAAAGACTGTCAGTGGGGGGGAGCTCACCACCTCCCAAGGCAGCTGATTCCACGTACAACTCTTACTGTAAAAAAGGTTTTCCTAATATCCAGCTGGTACCTCCCCGCCCTTAATTTAAACCCATTATTGCGAGACCTATCCTCTGCTGCCAACAGGAGCAGCTCCCTGCCCTCCTCTAAGTGAAAGCCCTTCAGATACTTCAAGAGAGCAATCTTGTCCCCCCTCAACCTCCTCTTCTCCAGACTGAACATTCCCAGGTCCCTCAGCCTTTCCTCCTAGGGCTTGGCCTCCAGGCTCCCGATCGTCCTCATCACTCTCCCCTGCCCCCGCTCCATTCTGTCCACATCCTTTTTGAAGTGAGGTTGGAGTGGCAGACTAGGAGAGTCTGTGAGGTCTGGGTTCCAGTTCCTGCTCTGCTGTGAGGCTCATTGGGAGACCTTGTGCCCCTCACCTACCACAGAGGACAGTGGAATGAAAATCAGGAAGAGAGAACCACGTATGCCGCTCTGAGGTCCTTGGCGGAAGGGAAGGGATAAAAATATATCAGATTAATCTGTTACAAGTTCTTTAGTTGAATGAAAAGGCGTCCTCAATTAATCCGTAGGCCTCTATTAAAAAAGTTATCTCAATGCAAGATCTTGCAAAATCAGTTGCTTGCAAAATCAGTTGTTGGCATCCTGTGCTGTAGAGGCATTCCCCCTTCTTCCAAATCTAAGCTTGCATGCAGCACACGCATGGATTGTCTGATAACAAGTAAAAGACTACTTTTTAGCTTCAATGGTATTTTCATTTGAATGCCATTTAGAGCTAGCACAGTGTGGTAAGAGTGTCTGACTGGATCTGGAAAACCTGGGTTCAAATTGCCACCCGTGCCATGGAAGCTCGCTGGATGACCTTGGGCCAGTCACACGCTCTCAGCCTAACCTACCTTGCAGGGTCATTGTGAGGATAAAATGGAGGAGAAGGATGTAAGCTGCTTTGGGCCCTCATTGGGGAGAAAGGTGGGATATAAATAAAGTAAGTAAATCCTTTTGCATTGTGAGAGTTTAGGATCGCCCTGTAACTTTAACGGGCTAATGTTAAGATAGCTAAGACACAAGATTTAGGATAAATGACAACGAGGGTAAAGGACAGCAAATGTTGATGACAGGTAAAAATTCATGAAGAGGCGTTGAAAGTGACTTTACGTGACCGTATCGATTATGAATTCTGGTGGACTAAAAGGGATTGTGTTTTATGATTGGGATTCCTTTTTTTTTTTTAAAGGAGGAACCCATTGGGTTCTAAAAAGGGGGGGGGGAACTCTTGGACACTAGATTGTGTTTGCTCCAACTTCGGGGTGGAAACACTTGGTGTGATGTCTGCCTTGTCTAATGCTTAGAGGTGAAACCAGCACCTTTCTCTGTAACGTTTATTCCTTCGTCTTTATAGACTGTGTTGAGTGGAGAAGTGTACACCTGCGTGTCTTTCCTTATCGACATGGTCAACGTTAGTCTGGAATTGACGAACCCCCAAGGGAAGGATGGCTCGCTCGCCAGGTATGTCGGTCGGTTTGGTTTTGCTCTGCAATTGATTTTTATGGCCACACGTCCTTAAAGGTGGTGCTTTACCGATGGCAGCCCAAGAGTGCCAGCTGGTTTCTTCGGCATTGTTTTGACACCAGAACCTGCGGGCAGTTTCAGAGCAAGAGGCAAGCCCCATGTTCTGTTTCGGTTCAGGTGAGACCCAGGCCGCTTGACATCTTACTGCCAAGTCTGGGGAAGAAACGTTGCTCTTTCTGACATTCTGAGTCTAGCCTGGGTACCACTTGAGAATGACTATGGGTAAAGGCCAGCATTAACAGTATTTTTACTGATGTAAGTAAGGCAGCTGCCCTGGCCTGGATGGCCGAAGCTGGCCTGATCCTGTTGGATCTCAGGAGCTAATTTAGGGGACGGCCCTGGTTGGTACTTGGCCGGGAGGCCAGCCAGGAAGGGCGAGGTTGCATGTGCCCAAATCTAAACACCAAAAATCAGTGATTTAATAAATGATGTAGATATGACACACATAGTACTCAGAACAAATTTCCCTATGACACAACAGAGGGGAGAACCTGTCCCTCTCATGAAAATGGCATAGTGGGAAAATGCTTCAGAATTTTTTTTTAATTTATTTAACTTTCGATTTCCTTTACCGCCCTAACCCCTTGGTAGGGGGTCTCTGGGCGGTTTACAGAGTGGGGTGCTAAGCACACATTTGTTCCCTAACTTGGGGCACATTGTATTTGGGGATGGGGCTGCCTACCGGCACCCTGGTGGAGGCGGTCCTGGCTCGGCTCTCTTCCCGGTGGTTCGTTAGGCTGGTTGTTCCTCCTCTGGCGCTCAAGCGGGCTGGCGCATGATGCGGCCTCTTCCGGCCTCGGCCACGTCCTTCTGGCTCCGCCGCGCCTGTTGATGACCTCATCGCGCGGCTCTGCCTCGTCGACGACAGCCGCCCGATGTTACTGCTGGCCACCACGAATCGCTCCTCCGGCCTCGCTGCTGCTGCCGCCGCTGGGAGGAAGGTTCCAAGAAATGATTGATTCTCCATTGGGAACCACTGAGGGTTGCTGTATCTGAATATACTTTGTGGGTGTCTACGTGTATCTTTGAAATGTTGAATCCAGCATGATCCTTGAAAAAATTATTGAAACGGATTTATAACCAGGGGTCTGTCGAGTCAGCCGGCAGAGACATTACCACATCCTTACAGTTCAAGGACGTTTTTGAATTTATTATTACAAATTGTTTTTGGAAAAACTCCACCAGTGAATTTCTACCTGTGATTAACTTTACCTGTGACTGTCTTCCTGTCCATTTGTTGTGTCATAGTTAAATTTGTTCTGAGTACTATATATATATCATATCTATATAATTTACTAAAGCATTGGTTTTTGGTGTTTAAATTTGGGCACACACATTTTTTTAATCTTGTTTACATCTATTGCTGTGCCACTGCCTTTCATCTTGTATGCTGTGTAGAGGCAGGCAGTGGCACACCACCTCCGTGCAACTCTTACCTTGAAAACACCACGAGGGATCACCATAAGTCAGCGGCAACCTAAAGTCACTTTCTAGCAGCGGTTAAGACAGTTATTTGAGAGCAATGGGAAGAGTTTTATGTTCAAGAAGGGTTTCGGAGGGTTTTTTTGCTTGAAACTTCTTAGGTTTGACTTCAAGAAGTCCAAATTGCTCTTTGAGAGTTTCTCCAATCAAACCAAATCCATAAACCTGGTCTCACATTCCATGATGGCATTTGACACGCGATACGCCGGGAAGAGGGCATCTTTGGGAATGCTGAACGTGTTCAACTGCATCTTCCAGTCGTCCAAGAACACCAGCACCCAAGGAGCGATACAGATCGAGCTTCATTATAGGTAGGAGACGTCTCACGAACACACACGAACCCATGAAACGACCGTGTACTAAATCGGACCCTCGGTCCGGCAAAGTCAGTATCGTCTGCTCAGACTGGCAGAGGCTCTCCCAGGGTTTCAGGCAGAGAAAGGTCTTTCACATCACCTACTGCCAGATTTTTCACCTGGAGATGCCGGGGATTGAACCTGGGACCTTCTGCGTGCCAAGCGGAGGCTCTACTACTGAGCCATAGCCCCTCGCCTGCTTCTGAGCAGCCCCCCACCAGCATTGGGAAGGTGTGTGTGTGGGTTCTTCTGTCCCACTTGAAATCTCTTGTGTGTAGCATCCGTGTACCTGGTGTGGGAGGTGACACCCAGTGGCATCAGGGGAACTTTATTCTATGGTTAGCTGTTAGTTTCCAGGTTAACGAAGGAGACTTTCAGTAGGTCCCATTTTCCAAAACTGCTTGATGTGTTTTTAAGTGTGATTTATATATGTATGTACTTAATTTATACCCCACTTTTCTCCCCAAAGTGGCTTACAACATTCTCCCCATCTCTATTTTATCTGCACAGCATCCCTGCGAGGTAGGTTAGGCTGAGAATGTGTGGCTGGCCTGAGGTCACCCTGCGAGCTTCCACGCCAAGCAGGGATTTGAACCTGGCTCTTCCAGGCCCTAGTTTGACGTGCTACCCACTACATCACCTTGGCTCTTAAATAAGATCTGGATAGAGAACAGTGTTAGGATGTGACAGCAAAAACTAAATGAAGCATGAAGTGCGTCCTCAGGTGATGCATATTTAGAAAAGAATTGTAAAGAGAGGTGTCAGAAGGCAACAAAATGCAAAAGCAAAGCTAGACATGTCAGTGCAAAGCTTAAAAATGTTTGCCAACTGAGAAATACACTCCTTCCTGCATCTGTTCAAGAGTGCTGTAGCCCCCAAAACGTATGCCTTAATAAATCTCAGTCTTTACTTTGAGATGGCTAAGGGGATGTAAAACAGATTTGTTGCTTACTGATTTTTTTTTTTAAATTAGATCCACCAGGGATTCCTCCTGCTTCACAGTTGTCCTGAACAACCTTCGTGTGTTCCTGATCTTTGACTGGCTCCTGCTTGTTCACGACTTCATACGGACGCCCAGCGATACCAAGAAGCCTCCCAACCTCACTCCCTCCAGACAACGCAATTACAGCAGCGAAATGGCGGTCATTCCCAAAGCGGTGAAGTGCGGGATCGTCACAAAGCGTTCCTCTCCTCAGATCTCTGCTGAAAAACAGTTGGAAGTCAAGATCAATGTGACGGGTAAGGCCACTACACAACACGACAATATCGAGGGTGGGAGAGTGATGGAAACTGAAGGCAAGGAGAAACTCTGACCAATATCGGAAATGCATTTTTGGGGTCTCATGGTCGAAATCTAGCTGCGTTTTGGTGATTTCCCCTCCCCCTCCCTTTCAGGTACTGAATTTGTGGTGGTTGAAGACATGTCCTCTCTGGATACCAGTGCCATTATTCTGAAAGGGACCACGGTTCTCACTTACAAGCCCAAACTGGTGGATCGCCCTTTCTCAGGCAGTTTGTTTGGCATTGAGGTATAAATGCATAGATATATATGTCGTTTTCTCTCTTCTTCATGCGGCGCGGGGGGGGGGGGAGGGGGGTTGTGGGGTTTTTTTACCCAAAAAAGAATTACATCCATCATCCTATAGCCATTGCTTTATTAAAATCAAATCAGGTGCCTTCAGGCTTTGGGACAGAACCTTGCAGAGACATGAAAGACATCTTGCATAAGAGCCCTGCTGGATCAGACTAGTGGTCCATCTAGTCCAGCATCCTGTCTCACATAGTGGCCAGCCAGTTCCTCTGGAGGTCCAGCAAACAGGGCATAGAGACCGAGGCCTTCTGCTAATAAGAACCTATGAATGGCCCTGCTGGACAAGACCAGAGGTCCATTTAGTCCAGCATCCTGTCTTATACAGTGGCCAACCATTCCTCTGGAGGTTCAGTATGAGAGTATAGAAGCCATGTCATTTCCCTGATGTTGCCTCCTGGCTCTGGGATTCAGAGGCTTAGTGCTTCTGAGTGTGGACGTTTCCTTTAGTCACCAGGGCTAGTATTTACTGAAAGACCTCTCCTCCGTAAATCTGCCTAATCCCCTTTTAAAACTGCCTATGCTTGTGGCCATAACTGCATCTTCTGGCAGCAAATTCCACATTTTAATCGCTCGTCATGAAAAGCAATATTTCCTTGTGTCCTTTCATAATCTACTGTCCTTCAGTTTCATCAGATGCCCTTAAGTTCCTGTATTTTGGGAGAGGGAGAAGAAATTCTCTCTGTCCACTATCTCCGTGTGTAATTTCATCAACCTCTATCATGTCCTTCCCGCTCATTGTTACTTGAACCCAAACCTAAACCAGAGTTGCAGAGTAGAGAGGGCTAGCTTGTCTTCTCACCTCCCTACCCCACACTGCAACTAAATCCATCCTACCTTTGGGGCATCTTGAAACACAACTGAGTGTGTGTGAGATCATGACCACCATTTTGGCTCTTGAATTCTCTTTGCTCAGGTTTTTTCATGCCGGCTGGGAAATGAGCAGGAAACGGCCCTCTCTATCATCGATCCTGTACAAATTCAGGTTGAACTTGTGGGGAATTCTTCATATCCCAGTGGGTCCGGATTGCTGGATGCATTCAACAGTGAAGACTTCCCGCCTGTTTTAGAGGTAGTGTTATGTGAAACCACTGGGGAGGGGCACTGCTGTTAGGCATAGGTACATGTTCTCTTTAAACATTCAAAGTGATGCATGCTGCGAGACTAGTTTACCTAGTGTGATGGACACGTGCTCTTAATTCTGGCAAGTGCACCTCCTCAGAAGGGCTGTATGAAACAATTAGAGCCGTGAAGCCAAACTGACAAAAGCCTCCAGTTGGCAGTAGTAGCTCTCAGTTTTGATAGCTGCCACAGGCACTCCATCGGTCCTCTTAGAACACTCCACTATTCTACTTTCCTTTTTTGGTGATACCTGACAGCTTTGGGGAAAAGGGACAAAGTCCTTTTTGTAGTTTCCCTTCACTATTAATTCCATATCTCTCCTCTGCTGCCTGAAGAAACTGGGCTCTGCTTTACAGTTGCATAAAGCTGACCTCTTGGGTTACAGAACAAGAGCAAGGTGCATCTTCCCCCTTGCCCCAGTTGATGTTAATGTCTGTGGTGGGGTTTTTAAGGAAAAAAGGTGCTTTCTAAGGTGCAATTGGCCCGTACTCTTTTAAGACTTCAATAAGGGTAGCGTTTGAAAGATGAAACGCTGATCTGAAAGCTTACGATTCATGCAGATTTGTAGAAGAAGGACTATCTCAAGACCCCTGCTTTCTCAGACCAGTGGTCCATCTAGTCCACCATCCTGTCTCACACAGTCAACAAACATCTGACAAAGGGAACTTTGTCTCTTGAAAGCTTGTAACCCGGAAATCTTGTTGATCTGTAAGGGGCTAATGTACTCAAATCTAGTGGCCAACCGGTTACATTGGAGGGCCAGCAAGAGGGCATAGCTGAAATAAAAGTAAAAACGGAGTTAAATAAAGTCTTTGCAAGACATCCCTCTTTCTTGTAATCTATTGCCACGTTAATTTTCTTCTGCTTCTCCGTTTCCTTAGATTCACTTACAAGCACTGGACATCAGATTGTCTTACAATGACGTGCAGCTGTTTCTGGCGATCGCCAAGTCCATTCCGGGCCAGACCAGCAGCGCCGCGCCTGACGCTTCTGCCTCAGATGGCAGAGCGTCCGTTTCTGCTTCTCCTGCTTCGGTAAAAGAGGTCACGGGACCGGCCTCAGAAACCACAGATGCATCTAAACACACTCTGGATCCTGTCCTTGGTATGAATTTGGTTTTCAGGGTGTGATATTGTGTGTGTGTGTGTCCCCGTGCCCCGATGGCCTCAAGTAGCCTGTACGAGAACAAATCCAGATATAATGTGAATTTGCCTTATGCTGAATTGGGTTCTCCCATCACCCCCCACTCAGTGACCTGTATCCAACCAAACACACCTGGAAGGCACATGGAGATTTTCTGCTCCTATTCCAGTTGCTGCTTCTAGCCCCTGGAAAGGTCATTCCTGGGATCACAAGATCCACGCCGAGCAGTTAACCTCATGGGTTGGGCAGCAGCGGTAAGGAGGGAAGCCGAGGAGCAGAGAAACCGAGGAGCGATTTAATCTCTTTCCTTCTGCTCCCTGCGGCTCCCCGGCTCGACCCAGTGGGGAGCAAATGTGGCGTCCACCGTTCTCCTTTCCTCCGTTTGATCCCTGCGAAGTAGGTTTGGCTGAGAGGGTGTGACTAGGCCAAGGTCACCCAGCAAGCTTCCGGGGGCAGAGCAGGGAATCCTTGTGCAGATCCCGTGACCCAGGAATGATCTCCGAGCCGGGACTGCTCGAAGGTACTGAAAGCAAAATGATGCCATGCAAATGAATCACCTGAGCAGTGACCGAATATTCCATTCCAGAGTTACAACTGGCCCGACTGCAGGAACTGGGATTTAGTGTCGACGACTGTCGCAAAGCTCTTTTGGTGTGCCAAGGTAGGACCCTATAAACTTGACGTATAGCACTAATTTAAACTATTCTCTTAATCGTTTGTGGCCGTAAAAAATAAATAAATAGATGATCCAGCTGTGCTTTACACTTCCCCCATATTGGTTCTGTTTCCATCCTGCTGCCTGTCTGCCATTATTCACTTTTCGACGGTTCTTCCCACGTTTCATCAGCCTTCCGCTTCCTAGCTGGTCTTCAGTTCCTCCGCCTTCACGTGATCTCTGTGCGTCTGCTTTTCCCCCTTTAAATCTAAAATTCAACAGTGGCTTCCAAACTCATCCAGGCTCGAGATGTCATCCAGCTAACAGGTTGTTTGCAACCAGGAGAGATTGGAAGAAGTGAAGGGACTTTGGGCTCAGTGGTCTTGAGTTATGTCTTGCTTTGCCCCCCCCTCGCAATTTCTAGTAGGCAGATAGATGTATAGATGAGAGGTGTCCTATGTCCTTGCTGTGCTTCTGTGTATTTAAATAAAGAGTGAGACCAGTTCTTTTCTTTACCCACCGAACAGCTTTTATTTATGACATATGAAGCTGCCTTACACTGAATCAGCAAAAGAACAACAGTCACCACGATGAGTAAAATCTTAACATATTCTGCCCAAAGTTATATACGTATCGAATAACTACATTACATTCACCATATATTTAAGGATCTTGCAACTATATAACTTATGAGAGCCAGTTTGGTGTAGTGGTTAAGTGTGTGGACTCTAATCTGGGAGAACCGGGTTTGACTCCCCACTCCTCCACTTGCACCTGCTGATGTGACCTTGGGTCAGTCACAAGCTCTGGCACAGCTGTCCTTGAAAAAGAGCAGTTTGTGTCAGAGCTCTCTCAGCCCCGCCCACCTCACAGGGTGTCTGTTGTGGGGAGGGGAAGGGAAAGGAGTTTGTAAGCCACTCTGAGAATCCAATATCATCATCTTCTTCTTCTATTTTCTAACTGAAATCCTCAACGGTAATTAATTGAACACTGTCTGTATGGGGTATCTTTACAATCCATGGACCACATCACGCCAGACCCTCCCGTCTTCCGTTGTCCTCCGGAGTTCACTCAATTTCATGTTCGTTGCATTAATGACACTGTCTGACCATCTCAGCCTTTGCCATCCCCTTCTTCTTTTGCCTTCAACCTTTCCCAGAATCAGGGTCTTCTCCAGTGAAGGCTCCCTTCTCATTTGGTGGCCAAAGTATTTGAGCTTCAACTTCAGTATCTGGCCTTCCAGGGAACGGTCAGGGTTGATTTCTTTTAGGATTGACTGATTTGATCTCCAGGGGACTCTCAAGAGTCTTCTCCAGCACCATAATTCAAAAGAATCTATTCTTCGGTGCTCGGCCTTCCTTATAGCCCAACTCTCGCAGCCATACAGTACTACTGGGAATACCATTGCTTTGACCATACGGACTTTTGTTGGCAGGGCGATGTCTCTATGTGACTGAACAACAACAACAAAATTCTAATACACTGTGGTTACTCTCTGTAAAATTGTACACAATCTTCTTGAGAATGAATTCTCACTAACAATAAATTCTGAGAATTGATACTTTAACATGCCTCAGCCAGGGCTCTTTTTGTAGAAAAAGCCCAGCAGGAACTCATTAGCACAATAGGCCGCACCCCATGCCTTCTCTTGGCTGTGGGGAGCCCAGGCAAACCTTCCCCGATCCTTCCAGGGGCCCCCCTGGCTTGCCCACCTTGGAGTTGTTGGGTGGGAGTGTCGCTCTCCAGGCCTTCTCTCTGTAGCCACCAGGCCTGTAGCCAGGATTTTTTAATTTTGGGGGGGGCTTTAAATAAGTCAGGGGGCACCCTGTACACACACACACCCCAGGGAACACCACATATAAAATTAAAAAATGGAAATCACAGAGCCTGGGCTGGATGGGAAGTCGGGGGGGGGGGGTTTGCAGTAAATTGGGGGGGGCAGGCCCCAAGATGCCCCACTGTAGCTACAGGCCTGGTAGCCACGCACATGCAGAGGTTTGGGCTGTAGTGGGTGTGGCCAACTCTGAAGCCAGCTGAAACTCCGTTCCTGTGCGTTCCTGCCCAAAAATAGCCCTGGCCTCAGCTGTATAGCGTTCAAAATCCATTCATAAAGAATCCAGTGACCTGACAGGTAGCCGTGGATGTCCTCCTGTTTCAGTCAGGTCGCTTGATTCTTTATGAATGGATTTTGATTGCTAGTCTCTTTCTTTCTGAAGACCATCAGCTGGCTACACTTCTTTTTTTAAAAGATCATGGAAGCTATCGCCGAAGGTCTCCTTCAAAGGAGGAAGGCACATCCTGAAGAGGGTGCCAAGCCAGTGTGACAGAATAGGTAGTGGCGGACTAGTATGTGGGTTCAGATCCTTGTTCAAATCACGTTCAGATCCTTGATCTGCCATGGGAGCCCACTTGGGTGAGCCTGGGCCTGTTTCTTTGCTCTCCGATCGCAACTTAACTCACAGCGTTGTTGTGAGGATGAAACGGAGGATGAATGTGCCTGTAGAACATCCTTGGCTCATTCAAGGAAGGGTGGGTTAACAATCTAATCAAGGGTAGTGAGTAACATTCAGACCTCGGAGGCAGGACTAAACTTTCTTGCCATTCCTGTTTACTCCAGTGGGGGGAGATCTTTCCCACGTTTTATCCTGTCTAGGGTCTCCGTACCGATTTTAAGAAACTGCTGACAGTGAAGCCAGTCTGGATACTTATTTTCTGTATTTCTACTTAATTTTCTTTCTTTTTTTTTGCTTTTTGTTTCTTAAAAAACAGTTCCTGGTTAGTGAGTGGGTAGATCAAGCTTATTTACTGTGGCAAGGAAGTAACCCTTCTAAACCCTTATAAACGTCCATCCTCCCCCTCCATTTACGACAGGAAATCTTATCAAACACTTGTCTTAATTTAAAGTTGGCCTTCCTAAAGTGCAAAACTTATGTTGCCGTATTTATCTTCTGTCCTGAAGCTGATAAATTCCAAAATGTCATGATCATCTCCCCCCCCCCCCCACTTTTTTCATGTCATGGGCCACAGATCCTTGCTGTTAACGAAAATAAAATTCCAAACTAGCTGGTCCCCTTGTTTCTTTCTCTGCCTTCTGAAACAGGCGGTTGACAGCAAAGCAGGCAGAAAATTTAGCATAATTTGTTTTCCAACAAATAATTGAAATGTAGTAACACTAATAGATTGTGCCACCAACTATATAGTTTTAAGAACAGTCAACCCGTTTTTTTCTTATTGATCAGGTGTTCAGTTGTCTGCTATTTTGACAGGTTCAAGAAGCAATATCACTGACTCTGCTTTTCTCGATTTCCTTTTTAAAAAATTTTGGCGGATTGTTCATGGGTTCTGCGCTCAGGTCAGCTGAAGAAAGCAGCGAGCTGGTTGTTCAAGAACGCCGAACCTCTGAAGTGTTTGCCATCGGACTCAAGTCAGCGAGAGAGCCAGGGCTCCACGGCCCTGCGCTTGATTTCCGGAGTGGAAGTTAAAGCCGAGAGCATCTGCATTTGCTTCATAGATGACTGCATGGACTGTGACGTTCCCTTAGCTGAATTTACCTTTTCACGTGAGAGTTTGGCTCAGTGGCCATCTTCACTGGCTATAGAACTGGGAGCGGGGTGTGTGTGGGTGTGTGAATTTGCCATTTTTGACCAGCTCGGCAATCCTTGACAGACACCTTTGGAATGTTGTTTTTCAGAGCAATGAGGATTTGATAATGCTTGGGGTTGGGCTTTGAGTCCTTCTTGGTAAATTTCAGCCCAAAGTCCCTTTCTGTCGTGGTAATCTTGTTTTCCTTTTAACTGGCAGGTCTGAATTTTCTCCAGCGTCTGAGAGCCAGCCCCGAAGGCTATGCTCATTTTACGCTCTCTGGAGATTATTATAACCGTGAGCTTTCCGGTAAGTACAAAATATGCATGTCCATATATCTTTTAGGATTTCAAGAGGCCTGGACTTACAAGGCCTATGTTTCACGTGGGTAGTTTTGCCAGCCTGCCGGGGGGGGGAGATTCCCCAAAATTACATCTGATCTCCAGACTACACAGATTGCTTGTTTGTTTTTTTAAAAAAATATTCCACTTCTCCTGGAGAAAGTGGCTACCTTGGAATGTGGCCTGTGTGACATTATACCCGACCCAGGCCCCTCCCCTCCCTAAACTCCACCCTCCCATGCCCCACCTTCAAATCTCCAGGTATTCCTGAGCCCAGAGTTGGCAACCCTACACACGAGGGATGGGTTTGCATCCAGCAGGGCCAGCAGAAGGCTGTCTCAATCCAGCAAATGGATCGTTTGGAGAACAACTGTTGAGCATTCGATCCAGGCTGAAATCCAAAGATTGGATTTTAAGTAACATTAAGTTAAAAACGGATGAGTCGGAGCTTCGGATTTATTTTATTTCACTTTTATTAGATGGTGTGCAGTGTAACAAAGTTTGTTTTTATTTTCTTAGTTAGTACATTTTCTTGGTGGTAGAAAATGCCTTGGTACTAGGCAGGGTCCTTGGTCGCCAGACACAATTTACGTGTCCCCACAAAGTGGCAGAGTATTACAGTCTGAACTCAGACACTGTGCTCAGCTTCGGAAACTTCTTGCTGCTTCCAAGTACCTCTGAAGCCCAATGTAAGATCCAGGAAGTGAATGGCCATCCTGGCTTCCAGATTTAGTTCTATGGCGGGATCTTTTCTCATCCTTGCTATCGCACTGAAGATAAGGAGTAGAGAGCATTCTCTCTGCTACTGTCTCCAAAACTATTATGGCATCAGGGAAAGGCCTGTGTCTTTCGCTTAGCACTTGCCTGATTAAAAGACAGCTGGCAGTGTGCATTTAGGCTGCATTCAGACACTGGGTGGATTTAGGTTGGGGTGTTAACCTCCTATCTTGGTGTATCCCCCCCCCCTCAATTTTTATGCCTTCAGAATTGATGACTTTCTTCACTTACACTTTGCTCTGCAACATCAGATGCATCCAATATGAAATGTTTGGGCCTTATGTGCACAATCTTGATCATCTTTTAGCCTCGCCAACTTGCCTTATTTCTGTGTCCCTCTCTTTGTTGATCTTTGTTGAGCCACTGGACTCATACTCAGTTCTCACATCTGTTTGTTAACGCTCGTATTTGTATGCTGATTTCTTGCCATCCACATGTCTTACCAACTGCTATACTTATCGCCCAGCTACTTATGCATCTTGACTCTAACTAGTCCTTCCTGGCAACCAGGGCTATTTTTGGGCAGGAACGCACAGGAACGGAGTTCCGGCTGGCTTCAGAGTTGGCCACGGCCACTACAGCCAAAACCTTTCTGTGCGTGGCTACAGAGGGAATGCCTGGAGAGCGACCCCCCGGCGACTCCGAGGTGGGCAGGCTGGGGGGGGGCCTGGAAGGATCGGGGAGGCATTTAAATGCCTCCCCATGCTTTCCCCAGCCTGTCCAAGGGCCGGCTTGCCCAGGCTCCCCACATATGCTAATGAGTTTCTGCTGTTGGGTGTGGCCTATTATTCCAATGAGTTCCTGCTGGGCTTTTTCTACCAATAAAGCCCTGCTGGCAACTAACCCCCTCACCCTCTCTCTACCTATACATAAGGCTTGAGGAAACCTATCTCAACGTCTCTGAAGAAGTGTGCACGCACACGAAAGCTTCTACCCAGAATGAAACTTCGATGGTCGTAAAGGTGCCGCTGGGCTCAGACTTTGTTCCCTCTCCCACTGTTTCCCCAGGCTGGGAACCCTTCATCGAGCCTTGGCCGTGCTCGGTCACCTGGCAGCAGCAGCCAGCCAGCCGCCTTCACCCTTCTCGGTTGAAGCTGGAGGTGAAAACGAAGCATCGCCTGGACATCAGCATCACTTCTGTGTTAATTGGTAGGTCAACTGTACACACGGCTATAAGAACACAGGAAGAGCCCTGCTGGATCAGACCAGTGGTCCATCTAGTCCAGCATCCTTGTTTCAGTGACTTATCTAGTATAGGGTTTGGGCTTTCACCTGCGCTGAACTTTTTACTATCCGTCTGTCTCCTCCCCACTCTTAGAGCAGTACGCTTGTACCAAACAGTCATGGATGGCAGATTACTGCAAACAGGAGAAAGAAGTGGAGGCCATCGAATCCGAAGAATGGATGGGCTCTTCAGTCGATCCTCCGTCGTTTGGGCAGGGTATGAGATGTACCCATTATATCTATAACAGATGTTTTAAAAGCTTGTTGATACCCACTTAAAGGAACACGCATTGTGGCCTTTGCCATCGCAGTGCTTTTAGTGGCATACCTCTGGCACTGCAGCAAGTGATGTTTTCCTATTCTGAATTGTCCTCTCTCTTACGTTTATAGGCTAGTTTTGCTTTACACTTGCCTCTTTGGCTTGACACAGAATATATATCTGCCTGATAATTTATTCATCCATCTGTGGCCTGATGAAGTATTGGATTATAACCTCCGTTTGCAGTATAATCAGGCCTTTGGGGATACTCTAAGCTAATGTCTGTGCCCGCTTTGCATATGCCAATATCCACGCAGCATCTAACTTCCCACTATTTCCACCCCCGGATGCTTGTGTTTCCAGATGCCTTCTTTCAGTTTCAAGTCCCAGACCCACATACGATGCCACCTGGCCTCAGTCCACTTCTGTGATCCCAGTCCCTGCATGGCTCCGGCCTCTTCCTCTCTTAGAGTCACCCCGTTGGTTGACTGTGAGTCTCCTCCCCACCCGCAGCTTGGAAAGACACCCGAAGCGACTTGTCCCATTCTCCCCTTCTGTCCTCAGGACAGCTTCCTCGGCCAAATGCTATCAATCTTGCATTGCCCTGTAAACTCCGATTCTCAGTCATTTAAACTCCCTGGTTTTTTCCCCTCCTATAGCAGCTCATGTCCAGCTCAGGATGAAAAACCATTCAACGATGATGTCAGGCGTTATGCTCGGGGCCCGACTTGCATTTGGCAAGCCCATGAACTGCTTTGTGGTCTTTTAGCCCCCGCAGAAATGCATCTTTTCCCCAAGATGAACGTCTCCCGGTCTTAACACAAGAACATTTGTCCGTTTGTTTTTAAAGCTGCTGTAGCAAATTAGTCCTTTGAAACCATGACTCAGCAGAAGTCAGAACTAGACCTTTGTCAGTGACTAAAGCAGGACTGTTTGTGGCTAGAGGAGGATATCCCTGGAGTGGGCTTGTCTTCCCCCTTGCTCCATAGGCCAGGCTGTGCAAATGGTCTTAAGGCTATACCTCAGCATCAGTTGGCATTTTTTTCCTAAAGATGCTAGTGTCCTGGGGCACTGAAGCTTCCACAAGGTCAAAGCCATGTCCGGAAAGACTTGCGTTGTGGCTGGGGCCACTAAAATGTGGCCTGGCAGGTTGGGATCACAAGCAAAAATTGGGAAGAGGAGCACAATTGGCACATAGATTAGCATAGATACAGGGGCATTCCTTTATATGCCCACTTCTTACCGGTGTCTCCAGCTCTGAGGTTGGGTAACCAAGGCAGTACAAAATCTAAGCGGAACAATTATTTCCATGTAGTCACCCAGGTTGGTCTGAAACAGCAGAACCAATTTAGAACCGAGTGGCACCTTTCAATCCCACAAAGGCTTATTCAAGGTATGAGCTTGAATTAGCCTTTGTTGGTCTTAAAGGTGCCACTGGACTCTAAATCTGTTCTAACGATTTCCACATTTGCCTCATCACAAAGAGAAAATGCAGGGAAGCAAGTAGCCCACCAAGCCAGTGTGATGTAGTGGTTAGAATGTTGGACTAGAATCTGGGAGACCCGATAGTCAAGTCCTCACTCTGCCAGGGAAACTCACTGGGTGACCTTGGACCAGTCAGCCTCTCTCAGCCGAACCTATCTCACAGGGGAGAAAGCTACAAGCCGCTTTGGATCCCTACTGGGGAGGAAAGTGGGGGTATAAATGAATTAAACTCAGCTGTGAGCAAAAAGAGGGGAAATGCCAGTAAATACACATAATGTAGGAGCTGCGGTGGCTCAAGTGGTTAAGACGCTGAACTGCAGGCTGTGGAAGGTCAGTAGTTCAGCAGTTCGAGACCCGGGTTGCCGCATGACGGAGTGAGCTCCCGGTCTCTAGTTCCAGCTCCTGCCAACCTAGCAGTTCGAAAGCAAGAAATTGCAAGTAGATAAATAGGTACCACTTCGGTGGGAAGGTAACAGCGTTCCGTGCGCCTTGGTGTTTAGTCATACCGGCCACATGACCACGGAAACGTCTTCGGACAGCGCTGGCTCTTCGGCTTTGAAACGGAGATGAGCACCGCAACCCTAGAGTCGGCATCGACTGGCTTTCGAGCAAGGGAACCTTTACCGTTACCGTTTACACATAATGTATCTGCAAATAGAAGCCACAAGTGGGTACTGCAAGAGACATAAAATCCATACTCGAGCAATCAGTCATAGAATCCTATAGTCGGAAGGGACCTCCAGGGTCATGTAGTCCAACCCCCTGCACTATGCAGGAAATTCTCCAGAGCCTTTGACCCTTAAATGTACTTTAAAAGCACCTCTTTAAAGGAGAGCTCTCCTCCCTGTTGATAGGGCCTTGTTGACTTGCTGTGCGATCCCCCCCTGTTCTTGAAATTTCCCTCGCTTTGGTACGCACGACAATCTTGCCTGTATATCTGCAACAAAAGCCTCTTCCCCTCTTTTCCCTGCTAATGTTATCTTTCCTGTCTGCCAGGCCTTCCTCTTGTCTACCTTAGAACTAGGAGCACAGCCAGTCTGACTAACCTAGAGCACCAGATGTATGCTAGAGGTACTGTACTGCAGAGCGGAGATGCTTTTGCTTTTTTTGCTAGAATTGTCTTTGCGGAGGGAGGATTTCCTTGCTTCTAATGCTCCGGGCACGATGCAGGCTCCTGCGTATCGAGAACCCCAGCCTACGTCATGCACGAGTGCTGCTTTCCAGAGGCGTGGCTCTCACACGGGCCCAGGAAGCTCAATGCACAGGCAGGAGGTGAAGCTGAGCCCCCCTCCCTCCCGTGCTGTTTGCAGTTGGAGATCGTAATCCAAGTGAAGCGGTAGCCTGTCCAGAGAAAAAAGATGAATCTCACTGCACTTGCTCCAGCTGGCTAGAAATGAAACCAGGGAGGGCTAGGGGCTAAGCGGCAAAGGACCTGTTTTGCATGCCAGGCCCTGGTTCAGTCTCCAGGTAAAGGATCTCAAGTAGCCAGTATTGGGAAAGATACAAGCTGCTGTGCCTGAGACCCTGGAACGCCACTGCCAGTCACAGTTGGAAACAAGCTAGACCTGTCTCTGTATAAGGATCAGATAGTTGCAACACTGACATAATTGCTATTTAAAAACATGTATTGGAATTTATGTCCATACAGAAAAACTCACTATGGTTACAGAATCCAGAATTCACCTGTCAGTGGTGACATTTTGGTACCCAAATTTTAGGCTGGCAACCTCCATGTGGGGGCTGAAGTGCTCCTGAAAGTACCACTGATCTCTAGATGACCGAGAATCAGTTCTTCTGATGAGCTAACTGTATCTGTATCTCTGTATCAGGCAGTTTTCATATGTTCACAATGCAAGGCCTTTATTCCAAAAAACCTAAGCCGTACCAATGCCTTCAGGAACAGGTCAGGTTCCAGTGAAACTGGCATGGTTCAATAATTGGTTTGGGGATCTTTCTAATTAAAATTTACTGGGCTTTGCAATGGCTGTTGATGAAACACAGCAATGGGAGGGAACCGTTTGGCCAGCTCACTTTAGATGTTCTTAATTGTATCTTTGCTTTTTTCTCCCCTTCCACACACCCTTGGCGATAGCAGTCCTGATATTCTGTATTCCAAACCGGCATGCCTTCTTAAAACACATTTCAACTTTTTTTTTAATAGAACCTCCTGACCTTCAGTACCGATGGGTTGTAAACTGCTGCACTGAGGCACACTCTTGATTCTGAACTAAAACAGGCAGCAGAAGGTCTCCCTGAAAAAGCTGATAGACTGGGAGAGAAAGAATTTGAGTTCCTCACCCCATGATGGGCTATGCCCTCTGTTTTCCTCCACGAGTCACTGTTCTGGCCATGATTAGAAGTAGACAGCCAGATCCAAGAATTCGCACAGATGTGATGGGGGGAGGGGCAGCCTTTGAGAGCAGATTCCCCCCCCCCCGACTCTGCATCAGAAGTGAATAGCCCGATCTCACCTTATGCAGAGATGTGATGTATATACCAGTCTCTGCCCCGCCCCAGCAGAGACTCCTCCGAACAACATGAGAACCAGTAAATCATGCAGAGACACAACAGTGAGCCAGTAGGGTGCAGTGGTTAGAATTTTGGATGATGACCTGGGGATCTCAGGTTCAGATCTCCACTTTCACATGGAAATTCCTGATCTTGGAGCCTGTGACTGCTCCCTGGTATCAGCAGGATTTGCCCTCACTCACACTGAGGGAAGTGCCACTTGGGAATGCCCCTTTGTACCTGGGACTTCGCAACGTCGTTGTAAGACAGGACATGAAGCGAAGCCCCGACTGCGGGCATCTCAGAACGATCTTTGCTGTCTGTTGTCGATCTAACTCCTGGCAGAGGCTGACCCAGCACAGAGCAGCAGCTCCAGTTGAAAGCCAAAGCCGTGTGAGCCATTTTCAGCAGCTCTGCTGCCTGGTGATAAGCCGCCGCTTTTGAAGCAGAAGAATCACTTGGAGCTGCTTCCTTTCCCACAAAAAGAACATGCTGTCCTTGGATGGATTGGCACAATAGCTGAGAAATATTTTTAGATGGAAGCGCTGTGTTGGTTCCCCACCTTCGCCACCTGCCTGGCAAGAGTTATTCGAAGCGCAGGGGTGGATGTGATGCGGTGTGACAGCCAAACCCTTCTTTCCAGTGCCCACTGCCCTCTGTGTAATGCTCAGCACTGTCTCTGAATCACGGCAACCAATCACGCAGAGTGAGGGCAGGGACGTGTCCCCCCCCCGACTCTGCATCAGAAGTGAACAGCCCGATCTCACCTCATGCAGAGATGTGATGTACATACCAGTCTCTGCCTCGCCCCAGCAGAGACTCCTCGGAACAACATGAGAACAGTAAATCATGCAGAGACACAGCAGTGAGCCAGTAGGGTGCAGTGGTTAGAATTTTGGATGATGACCTGGGGATCTCGGGTTCAGATCTCCACTTTCACATGGAAATTCCTGATCTTGGAGCCTGTGACTGCTCCCTGGTA